GAACGAGCTTCTGCATTGGTTTTGACGATCTTTAATATTATTATTATTAAAATTTGGCTCTTAAATACCATTATATAAGCCACACCCATTTATGGGGGGGGTTCTTTTTTTTCGGGAATTGCATAGTAGAAGAATTAATAAAGGATGAAGGCGGACGATTTGCGACGGGTTCAGAACACAACAGAGATCGAGCCTTTTTTTTGAATGCAAATTGGTGGTTTGGGCGTAACCCCGATAAATGTCCGCATATGGATTTTATCAAGTTTTGAGGTTTGAAATTGTCCGCAGATTCATTTTTTTCATAAGAAATTGGTAGTTTTGATAGTTAGAGCATAACCTGGGAATTGTCCGCAGATTCCTATTTTCATTAGAAATTGCTAGTTTTGATATTTGGAGCGAAACTCCGATAAATGTCCGCATATAGGTTTTATCAAGTTTTGAGGTTTGAAATTGTCCGCAGACTCGTTTTCCTATAATGAATTTCTGTTATTTGTAGATTTTTGGCGAAAAACCAATAAAAATAATATTTTTTGCGCAATTTGCGTAGGGTTTTTCTTTTGATAATTTTTTGAGTTTTTTTTTTTTGTGAAATCTCTGTGAATTGTCCGCAGATAGAAAATGTTTTTAGCCCGAAAATTGTCCGCAGATAGAATAGGTTTTTTAGCCCGAAAATTGTCCGCAGATAGAATAGGTTTTCTAGCCCGAAAATTGTCCGCAGATAGAAAATGTTTTTAGCCCGAAAATTGTCCGCAGATAGAATAGGTTTTTTAGCCCGAAAATTGTCCGCAGATAGAATAGGTTTTCTAGCCCGAAAATTGTCCGCAGATAGAATAGGGTTTAGCCCGAAAATTGTCCGCAGATGGAAAATGTTTTTAGCCCGAAAATTGTCCGCAGATAGAATAGGTTTTCTAGCCCGAAAATTGTCCGCAGATAGAATAGGGTTTAGCCCGAAAATTGTCCGCAGATGGAAAATATTTTTAGCCCGAAAATTGTCCGCAGATAGAATAGGGTTTAGCCCGAAAATTGTCCGCAGATGGAAAATGTTTTTAGCCCAAAAATTGTCCGCAGATAGAATAGGGTTTAGCCCGAAAATTGTCCGAAGATAGAATAGCTTTTCTAGCCCGAAAATTGTCCGCAGATGGAATAGGGTTTAGCCCGAAAATTGTCCGCAGATGGAGAATGTTTTCTAGCCCGAAAATTGTCCGCAGATGGAATAGGGTTTAGCCCGAAAATTGTCCGCAGATGGAAAATATTTTTAGCCCGAAAATTGTCCGCAGATGGAAAATGTTTTTAGCCCAAAAATTGTCCGCAGATAGAATAGGGTTTAGCCCGAAAATTGTCCGAAGATAGAATAGCTTTTCTAGCCCGAAAATTGTCCGCAGATGGAATAGGGTTTAGCCCGAAAATTGTCCGCAGATGGAGAATGTTTTCTAGCCCGAAAATTGTCCGCAGATGGAATAGGGTTTAGCCCGAAAATTGTCCGCAGATGGAAAATATTTTTAGCCCGAAAATTGTCCGCAGATGGAATAGGGTTTAGCACGAAAATTGTCCGCAGATGGAAAATGTTTTTAGCCCGAAAATTGTCCGCAGATTGACTTGTTCAAATCGAGCAGGGTCCATCGTGCAATTCTCAGCCTTTTAAAGTGCAAAAATGACAAATATACTCAAATATCACAATACTTATATTTCAAAAGTTTGAAATGTTCACATTTTGAAATTTATAACCTTTTTTGGGGGTTTGAAAATATCAAATATATTAGATTTCGACTTTTTCAAAATCCACAAATTTCCAATGATTTTTGAAAATATTAAGAAATGATGAAACCGGAGAAATGTCCGGAGATTGATTTGTTCTAATTTTTTTAAAATTAATGCACGACTTGTTTGAACTGCCGCCATCGATAATTGCACAAAGCGACCGGAAAATGTCCGCAGATGTGTGAAAAGAAATTTGTTTTTTTTTTTAAAGCAGATCTCACTCAGGTAAATGAAAATCAATCGGATTCGAAGAAAAAATCAATAGAAATCAATCTGTTTCGATAGAAAATTAATTCGATTAAGAAAACGCTTAAATTTGATTCAAAAATCTTTGAAATCGATCGATTTTTTTCTCATTTTCAATTTTGAGATCGGTGTTCAAAAATTGGGAAAAAAAATTGCTCGAAATTTATCTAAAGATTTCAATTTTCCAAAATTTGACAATTTCTATTCATTAAAAATTTTTTCAAGCCGATTTCAATCCGAATTTGCACCCCCTGAGTATATCAGAAGAAGACTTGAGATTCTGAATTTTTCGAAAATCAAAATGGATCATCAAAAATCGAATAGGTCCGCAGATGAAAGATGATGAGAAATCAGGAGTCCAGGGCGTGAAACGCTCACGCGCAACCCGCAAGGGTGTCCGCAGGTGGGATCGAATACAATAATTGAAATTCAAAATTCTAGGCTTAAAAAAATAGAAGCGCAATGGGAAGATGGCGCCAGCGCGTTTGGTGTAACGTGGCGGGGTTAAGCGGACCATTTTAAATGTCGTCGTGCCGAGGCTCCGCCCAAATTGTTCGTGTCGAGCTTTGAAATTCATCATTCTCATGATGACATCATCATTGTCATCAAAATAAAATAGACTTTAGCGATGCCCAATTTAGGCGTTTATGAATGGCTAATGACAGGCTTAACACACGCCGATGGAAAGGGGGGGGGGGTCCTAAAGGGCACTTTTTTCTTTCCCAATTTTCAGCCACCCACACCCACAATTTCGTGGAGTGGCTCCGCCCACGAGATACCGTATCACCTCTGGATTACTGTAGCAACCAAGATTAACTATTTCGTTTCGACAACGAGGTAATTTCAAATTGCGAGGCTCCGCCCACAATTTCAAAAATTCGCTTGTCACCATTTTTCGAGATTACGGTAGATTGATGATTATAAAGCGAGAGAGTGAGAGAGAGAGAAAAGAAAACCCGCGAAATGTCGGCAGATTGATTGTACTGAAACAAATATAGACACCTGTGCGATGTCCGCAGGTGGTTCTTGCAAATAGATCGACCTTTTGAGTATTAATATCAAAGAGAAAAGACAGCCCGTCAATTGTCCGCAGATGATTGTCGTCTATTAATTGATTTTCATAGTGCCTCTTGAGCGTCCCCCCGAAACAATTTTTTTTGTTGCGCCATGTATCCGAATTCAAAAGTTCAATGTGTCCTGATGGACAATCGAGATTTGGAGGAGGCGTTTTGATCGAGATCGACGAGAAAAAAAATGATGATTTTGGAGGCAAGAACAAACGATGAGAGACGAGCGCGATTCCATCGTCGTTTTAATTTCGGCCTACTAAGAAGAAGTGAGCCAACGATCGACACCCCGATCCAGAATGATCCGAACAATAGGCGGGGGGTGCCTGGGAGTAGCCAATGACATCGTGAACCAACGATGGTTTTATCGATATTTCGATCTCGACTCGAAGAATTTGGTTTCGCAAAGTGCAAAGATTCTTTTCGATTTGGGGCAGATTGTATCCGAAGGCCAAAAAAAAAACGCCTTCATTTTTTGAAGGACCATCGGAAAAAAAAAACGACACAAACGCATTTTTGAACTCGGCTCATTTGCCTAGTTAATAAGCGGATTACTGTAGATAAGGAAGCAGGTCAAAGTCTCAACAAGAATCGAATGGAACTCAATGATCACCTAGAAACAGCCCAATTAGGATTACTGTAGATTTTGGAGTGCAAAGAATTGTCAGTTCAGGGATTACGGTAGAGTACAGTAACCGGCAACTCGTTTTGGATTACGATATCAACAAAAAAAATTGGCGAGCCAAATGGCATTTGAAAAATGTGGCAATCGTGTTATCAGTGCGAATTTTGTGCTCTCCGAGTTGTCCAAGAGACCCTTTGGGTAATTATTACTAGGAGGTGATGTCTTATCACACGTACACACATGCTGACAGACGGCGGCGAACGATTTTGCGGGACTCGTCGTTTCCAAAATCACATTCCTCTCAAGACCTGGCTGTTTAAAGGGGGATAGGTAGGATCATGATATTTTCGCGAATAACATTTTTTGGCGCGTAAATCGACATCTATCTTTGAGCTTGAAAAGTAGACTAAATTGAAACATTCATTTTCGGACCACGTAAATCGTCAAGGGACCCGTATCGAAAATTTTTAGATGACGTCAAATTGCTTCCAATTTCATCGCCGTCTAAGCCAAAATCTGAGCGAGACGAACAACAATATTTGGTAGATCAAAACGGAAACAATTGGGCAAAAGGAAAAGCTACAATGTAGTCGAGAAATGCCTCAGCAAAAAGAAAAAAAAAGAACTTGGAATTACCGAAAAAAAATTGCACCCGCTTTTTTTTTGGGCGAAAAAAAATGCAAAAATTGGCGATCTTGCACAAATATTGATAACCCGAAGGTGTGATAAGCCGAAATTTGACACTTCCGCACCGTTTTCGGTCTCGAAACGGGTCTCGTGCCTCCAACGTCGACGAGTACGGTAGCTCCGTCGATAACACATTATCTCGATTTGTGTGCGCGTTCACCGGCACGCAAAATTGCACACATGTCAGTCATACCTCTTTAAGGGTAAAATCTCGAAAAACTTCGGCCGCGGCCACGTTTTCAAATCATACCAAATCTTGCATATGCGCCTTTAATCAAAATAGAAATCGAAAAACTTTGATTTAAAAAAAATGAAAAACAAATTAAAGGCGCATACGAAACGCGATTGAAAGAATGAGAAAACAGCTGCGGGTACTGTAGAAAATCCCCCATTTTTTTTTGAGAGTCCCGGACCATTTCCATCGAGCTACCGTAATCCAAAAAAATGTGATTTGTGCGTTTTTTTTCCGGCGAACTCTCGACGCGACAAATGGTTTGCTAAGCGGTTTTGCTCCTCATCGATCAAAATGAGCTGGCGGAGCCGCCGAGCAGCTGACCGCGCCTGTGTGAAAAGTCACACTTTCGTATTTGAGCCCTTCATTCAACCGAGCTCACCGAATGCTCGCTAGCCGCATTTTTGGTCCGTTGGTGTTCGGCCTGCTGCTCATATTTGGCGTCGAGTATGCCGCGTCGGTTTGCTATCCGCAAATTCCCGATTTGCAATTGACGCCGACGCAGGTAATTCATGATTTTGGTTGCACTCGAATTGACGCGAAATTGCGGACCATTTAATTGGTTTTATTATCTATACGATTTTTGCGAAGTTAAGGAACCTTTTTTCATTATTTTTTTAAATCTCTGAATGAAATGTGGCAATACACCGAATTTGACGCACTCTTGCGGACTATTTTCCGTTTCTTAAATTTACGGAATATTGCGTGACAAAACTGCGCCATAATGAAAGTTTCTGACAATACACCGAAATTGACGCGCAATTGCGGACTTTTAATAAAGCTCGAGACTACTGTAATTTTATTGAAAATACGCCGCATTCCGATATAAAACTGTGTCTTTGCAAGCGACTTTAACAACTATGACGCACAATTGCCGACTTGTTTCGTTTTGCATCAAATTTGACGCACAATTGCGGACTTGATTCGTTTTGCACCGAATTTGACGCGTAATTGCGGTCTTGATTCGTTTTGCACCGAATTTGACGCGCAATTGCGGATTTGTTTCGCTTTGCACCGAAGTTGACGCACAATTGCGGACTTTTAATAAAGCTCGAGATTACTGTAATTTTATTGAAAATACGCCGCATTCCGATATAAAATTGTGTCTTTACAAACGACTTTAACAACTATGACGCACAATTGCGGACTTGTTTCGCTTTGCACCGAATTTGACGCACAATTGCGGACTTTTAATAAAGCTCGAGATTACTGTAATTTTATTGAAAATACGCCGCATTCCGATATAAAATTGTGTCTTTACAAACGACTTTAACAACTATGACGCACAATTGCGGACTTGTTTCGCTTTGCACCGAATTTGACGCACAATTGCGGACTTGATTCGTTTTGCACCGAATTTGACGCGCAATTATAGTAAACGATGAGAGTTTGAGATCGCAATAAAAAACCAACTGTCGGCAGCACGTCATCGCCAAATTTCAGTACAACGGCTCATGGTTCGTGATAGCGCGAAAAGCGTCGCGTCAACGCTACTTCCTGCCGATGAACATGAGCTCGTGCATGGTGCAGTTGATTCTCAACGCCGACAACTCGAGCATCGACTTCACTGAGTATCATACGAAGTAGGCAGGCAATCAAATCAGCGAAACGCTCTATTTGGTCTATATGGTTTGTTTTTTGAAGGAATGAGACGTGCGAATCGTCGTTCGGCACAATGAGCCCCCACAAGAATGGATATATGCTCCAAATGAACAAGACCGTCGAGGAGGGTCTCGTCGAGAAAGGTTCGACCAACAACTATGCGCCTTTAAACAATAGTATGTGGATTACAGTGTTCCTTCGACCAATTTATCATGGCTATTCGGGTGATAACAATGAGGAGATGAATATGGTCCTGTATGGATGTCTAGATGGCAATGATGACGGAGGATGTATTGTGGGCGACGAGCTCGTGCTCATCATGAGCAATTCGAGGCATCCGCAAACGTTGCAGGTACGAGCCGGGGAGGGGGGATTTCATAGATTCCAGCTGCGGACAATTTCCGGGAGCACCCATTCCGGGTCAGAATTTAAAAGAATGAAGCTGGCGTCTGAGAGAGACGTTGGTAGAACAAAAATTAGAAGTGAAATTTTGAATTCGGTCTGAATGCGAATATTGTTGGTTCGTAGATATCCATCAGTTTGGAAAACGATTGATTCGTGACGTAGGCGCCTGTCAGAAGAGGAAAGATGGACTATTGCAACTTTGATTCGTTCACACAAGGCATCGGGAACGAATTGGACCTCCCCCTTCATCTCCACACCTCGCCTGTCTCCCTCTGCGATCGCGACGCGACGATCGGTGAGTTCACACGCCGCCACGATTTCGATCTAATCGCCTCGTATCGGTTTTTGAACCGGAAGATCGACCGACCTACGGTATCCTGACATTTATTGATTCTTTTGGGGAGGAGCGTGGGGTGGCCTCCAACAATGTCCGCAGCACGATAGTGTCATTTTGCGGAATCGTTTGGCTCGATGGAAACTCTTCTCACTCTTGAAAATCTCTTCTTCCAAAATGCCGTTTTAAATAGTTGGCCCCCACAGCAAAAAGGTCTAAACCATCTAAAATAGTCGTCGGAGAACTTTGTGTCTTCAGAAGCGTTGCGGTTCGCGTGCGGTCCATGATCTACATTTCAATATTCCCGATACTTCGATATAATTTTTTTTTGGAATTTTCAGAAAAACCGCAACGCGAACCGCAACGCGTCTGACGACATACTAGAAGCCCTTTTTATTGCTAGAAAATCACTATAAAATGATTTTGCGTTGAAAGAATTTTTAAGAAAATGAGTATACGAGAAAAAACCTAAATGTTTTTTTCTTTAAAAACGGACCAAACAAACCCGCAACGATGTCCGCAGATGGAATAATATCAATATATATACAAATGGTCCGCAACGAAATTTTAAGATAAGCGTGAACAATAGAGTTTATGGATCGCGGCAAATTATTTGGTGACCCGAATGAATGTCCGCAGCACAATTTTAACATATAGAAATGAGTCTGTCGACAATATTTGCTGGGCAGACCCGCACTAATGTCGGCAGCACGCGTTCAATATGAGAAATTGGCAAAACCGCAAGAAACTGCGAAAATCGATTTCGAATTGAAGAGAAGCCGCCGGATGGGGGGTATCGAGAAAACCAAAATGAAACTAGATCGAGCGCCGTTTGAAAATCGATGTCGATTTCGTAGGAATTGTGTGATTTCGATACCAAAAAATTGCTGGGCCTCGTTCGGCGCCGGGGGGCTATTTTTTGCAGCGGCCGGAGGGGCGAAAAAAAGAAGCAACGGTCAGAGAAGAATGTAGTCGAACTGGAATACCAGAACCACCGCCTCTCGGCCCGATGCTCCTTGAACTACACGTACAGTATTACGCCCGACGTTTCCGAAATAGAGATCTGCGAACGAGATACTGTAGACGCGTTGAGTGTGTGTGCCACGTGCTATCCTTTCAATTTCAAGACTATGAATGGTCTCGACGGGGTTGCGCCTTTAAGGATTACTGTAGGGGCTCTATTTTTCAAGTATGACGGCGGGGTTACAGTAGTCGATATGTGATAACCGCAAAATTGTCGGCAGCACGAATCCAACATTTTTGCAGTTGTTCAAATCGGCGAAAATCATCGAAGACGAGGCGTGCATCGACATTCTCCACTTCAACGCCCTCGACACCTACAGTAATCATCGCGTCGAGACCGGGCGGCAAAAAAAAAAAGAAACGAACAATTGCAGACGAATGCGGCGACGACGCCGTCGACGAGGACCAGAAGTTGAGGCACGCGAAAATCGACGAGGACAACGAGTTCGTCGACGTCGAGTGCCGAGTCGAGAACATTCGGCCGGCGCCCAACAACATCGACACATTTTTTGTGAGATTGACTGATATTTTTCGGCGCCCCCCCCCCCCTCAAAAAAAAATTAAACGAAAAGCTGAAATTTTTCCAGACATTTTTGGCATTTTTCAATTCATCTCATTTATTTCGGTCGCAATTTCGGTTTTTACCCACCCCCACCCATTCCCTGATTCGATCAGAACAACAAACAGTTTGCCGACCTTGGAATGAGTGTGTCATCGTCCAAAAATCAACCGACACCAAAAAAAATGTCCATTGTCATCTCGTGTTGGTCTTATATATGTATATGGGTCTTTTGAATTCAGGACGAGCCGCGTGTGCTCACCGTCGTCGCCTACATCGATCCGATGCTGTTCGGCGAGCAGATCGCCCACATCAGTTGTCGGTACCGCACCAAGACGGCGGCGGTGTGCGAATGGATCAGGTAGGCTATTGTAATCATCTGCGGACATTTCACGGGATTTTGTTTGATCGAGATGCACTGAAAAAATGAAAATTACAGTGAAATAAAATTTCAGACAGGACACGTGCTTCAAAACGAATCTCACGCAGAGCCTCGCCGACAACCATCTGACGATTCGATCGACGATTCAGAAAACGAATGGCTCGGAGATGGCGATTGATTGTGAGCGCTTCCTCGATGAAGAAAAAAAAACCACCACCCGACGATTTAGGGTCGGGCTTCGTTCTTTGGGAGAACGGCGACGAGTACATCAGCATGCATTGCGGCGTCGTCGGCGACGACGGCGCGTGCGATTCGGTTCGCGTCTACGTGTGGTCGGACGAGGATCACATGGATCAGCCGACGATCAACACCATCTATCGGGTGCTTCAGAGCGTCTGCGTCGATCCCACCGATCTCATTTTTCTCAACACGTTCCGTAGGCCAGCTCATCATCCATTCTTTTTTTCTCGATATGCCTTCTTTCAGACGAGTGCATCATTCCGGCGCCGACGGCGAATCCGATTCAATGCTCGTCGCCGAATGGATGGAGTCCGATCACGTTGTCGATGCTTCACGGCGTCTGGTACATCGCCGCCGATCTCAACGCCGATCCCAAGTTGTTCCTTCAGTCGGCCGTCATTGATATGAAGGCGAGAGAGAATAGGTCGGGTTTGTTGATACGGTAGATCTACAGTACCAAGGTACTGTAGCTCCTAATATGTCTATTGTGTACTCCACACACTAAATTCGACTCTCGGGTCTCGCCACGACATCATAATTACTTACAGTACGCAGGCGATTCTCGACATCACCTATTATGTGCAGAAGGAGAGCGACGGCCTCTGCGTGGGTCCCGGCAACGCCGAAGCGATTCTCACGACGAACGGCGAACTCCACGTCGACGCCGAGTACGCCTACTCGATCGTGCCCGGCTACAAGAGCACAATCAAACGTAATCGTCACGTCGACACCTACCGTAATCCAATCGTTACAGTCAAATTTCAAATTTTGTATCTGGACAATCAGCGCGCCGTGTTGTATTGGTGCTTCAAGCGCAATTCGACGGGCTCTTGCACTCAGCATGACGTCACCTTCATGATACGGTATGCGCCTTTAACGCGTCTTCCGAAATCCATCGCGTTCCACTGAAGGTCTCGCCACTTTTCCCACAACGATCTCTCAATGATTTTACCATATTTGGATAAGGTGTGCATCGAGAAGAATGATCTTCGATGGTACGATCTACACTGTAAGTGGGCGGCGCCGTCGGGTGGGTTACGGTATCAGGCGTTTTAGCGCAATGCGGTTTGGAGATCTCGTCGACGACAATTCTGCGTCGAGACCTCATCACCCTCTCGCACTATCACGTTCTCGACATTCTCACGAACGTCCAGGAGCCGAAGTGTCGATACGACGAGGTGCGCGGTGTTCGCGCGGATCTTCACTCGGTCAGGAATTGATTGATTCAATGAGATAATTGCTCAAATTTTTTGAAGCTCGAGCGCGCCGGCAGCTGGTTTTTGATGTCGAGAATGGACGAGATGAGTATGGACACGTACGCGATGATCGGACGCGTGTTCGTCGTCACCAACACCACCGCCGTCCTCCGATTGATACAATCAGCGTGAGTCAATTGATATTTGTTGTTATGAGGAAGGGGGCGGAGCCTGTCTGACCTACTGTAGGTGTACTGTATTCAGCGCGCTGCCCGGCGAGCATCGCGAATGCTTCACCCGTGTGTTCACCATTCGCCAACGCCACAATGAGTCGGACTATTGGTACGAGCTTCACTTCGAGTCGACCACCAAGAATTCGACGTTCAGTTGGGGACTACGGTGTGCGCCTTTAAATCAATGCCAGTTTTGTTTTTTCCAGTGATCTTCCGCTTTTTGTTCTTCAATCGCAACGTTGGTGTGATCTACTCGTGTCTGCGAAACGCCGTTGATGGAAGGTGCGCGATTTAGTTTGGGGTTCGAATCTCGAAAAATGGTTCAGATGCGACGAGAAGGCGATCTACGTGATATCTCGCCACGAATCCATCGATCATCCCGAGCTCACCGTTCTCGAGAAGGTCGCCAAATCGGTGTGCATCGAGCCGATTTTGTTGTACCACGTGGCGGCGCATGGTGGGTTACTGTAGGTCGCGTTGCTTCAGTCGGATGTTGGGGACGCCTGCGCTTCGCTATGTCGTGCCACGTGGCGTTAGGATTACTGTAGGTCGGCGTGAGACCCGAAATAATTGAACTATGGTGAGCCAAGCGAGTTGTGATTTGGCGTGGGTTCGATCCCGTGACCTTTTGCACACTGGAAATTCCATTTTGAATTCCGCCAACAAATACAAATTTTCTCGTTTTATGGTACGGTAGAATTTAAAGGAGCATGCCGTTTTTTTGGGAGAATTGAAAAAAAACTGAATCCCACCAATCTCCGGGTCTCACATCGATGTCTACCGTAATCCATCGACGCGAAGCACACGTTTAAAGGAGCATCCATCTAGAAAGCTCGATTACTGTAATGCTGACCAGAAAAACAAATTCGAAGTTCGTGTCTTCGAAGACAACTTCCTACCGTAATCCGACGATGGCCTTGAAGCGACTTTTTTCGAATCACCTTTTTTTTGTTTGAAACGTCGCTGCAAAACCAGATAATTGCAAAATCGTGCGGAAAAAAAGATCTCTGTGTACTCCACGCGGACAATGCGAAGCAGCGCGTATTTTCAAAAGAACCTCGCCAAAACAAATTCAACCAGTTTGGGTCTCGAAGCGATCAAAAATTGTGTTAGCATATTGGGCGACTGGTTTATGAGAGACAACGCGATTTGAGAGAGTACCGACGACGAGACGAGAAATCTCGTGCGCCTTTAATTCTCGACAATATTTGAACATCATTTATTGCAAATATCACAACCGTATTTTTAAAAAATATGATGAATGATCAAAAAATGGAAAAAATGAAGAGTGTGAGGAGGGAGAAAAGAACGAAAGAGAGAGAGAGAGAGAGAGAGAGAGAGAGAGAGAGAGAGAGAGAGAGAGAGAGAGAGGCACTTTGAAATTTTTTTTTGGTTGAAAATGAATTTTTGACAAAAATCAAACGGAAATCGAGGATCACGATGGACAAAAAAAATGAAAAGGCACACGGAATTGTCATAGCCTAACCAAGAAAGACGAGAGAGAGAAAAAAATAAAAAATAAAATAATGGAGATGATTTTCAGACGAGTGCATCATTGAGCCGAGCCGCTTGAAACCGCCGGCGTGCAGCTCGATTGTGGCGGCGACGAGCAACGCGGATTGGCACGAGCTGAGTCTGCAACAGATTGAGGTTCGGCCTCGTCGCATTTTTTTGTTTTGGGGAAAAAAATTCCCAAAAATTGGGAAAATATTTATTTAAAAAATATTTTTTTTTATCGAAAAACAAAAATTCTGAAATTTCCATTTTTTTTTCCGAAAAGATTTACAGCGATCTGAGCATATTTTGCCAATTTGTTCAAATCATTTTTCAAACTAAAACAAAATGGTATAGTCGGCGTCCAGCGCCTGCTGTACTCGGGTAGATTTACGGGCATGCGCCTTGAAAAGGTCTCGCCACGCGTCAACGCTTATTCTGTTGTTTTCACGTGAAATATCAACTTTTTCTTGATGAATTTGGCATTTCTTGGAAGTCCGCGCGAGACCAAGAGAAAGGAGCATCCCCGTAAATCTACCCGAGTACAGCAGGACGCCGACTATACCAATTTTTTCAGTTTGAAAAATGATTTTATCAACGTTTAAAAAAATAATTTAAATAACTCTGCAAAATATGCTCAGATTGCTTTTCGGAAAAAAATGGAAATTTCAGAATTTTTGTTTTCCGTTAAAAAAAAATATTTTTTTAATAAATATTTTAGACTATTGTCGAAATGCGAAAAATTGGCAAAATGCCCAAACATTTAAAAACGGGTCTCGGGGCGCGAAACCTCCATTTTTTAATTTCGCACCAAGACCAGCATTTAGCCAAGTCCTAGACAATATGAAATTCAAATTCGAATTCGATTTTTTATACATATTTCAATTTTCGTGCTGAAATCCCTTAAAAGGCATAACAAATTTTTTTTCCGCTTAAAAAAACCCAAAATTGAAAATTTTTGGCCACGAATCAAATTTGACAAAATTCATAATTTTCTATTATAAATATTTTCAAATCGTGACGGGATATGTGCCTTTAATTCTCGTCACTTTGTTTTATTCAAAAAATTCGGCTCACAATTTTTCCATACGAGACCCAACGCGTATAATAATTCCAATTTTCGAATTTTTTTTTAAATCAAATTCAAAATTTCACTTTTCAAGCTTTTTGTGTTAAAAATGCTCTAGCCTATTTTCGTACCACACTGTCTCAAGGGTCCTTTTTCACAGCCAAAAACCTAAACGGCCGGCCGCCTATTACTTTCAAAACTCGTCTCGACGTCGAAGCTTCTCCGGCTCAGCTCAGCTTCTCGAAGCGCCCAAAAAATAATTTAGTTGTCAACTTGAGTTTGACATATGAGTTCCGTCGGCCAAACGAAATTCCTCAGCCATTCTAATATTCGCCAATTTCGGCGAAAAATCAACGAAATGGAAAAAAAAACGCGCAAACATCGACATTTTTCATGTATGTCCAAATATGGCTGGAATTTTTAGGCAACAATTTTCGCCATGAAATTGGCTTGAAAAAAAATGACAAAATCGTCTGAAGGAAAATCTGCCAAATTTTTTTAAATTTCAACTATGCCGGCTTTTGAAGGGAAAAGCTCAACAAAAAAAATTGAAATATAAAAAACCAAATTCGGAATTTTTTTTCGCCTGAAATTGCTTAAATTGGAATTTTTTTCATGCTAAAATTTTTTTAAAATCAATTTTGCGAAATTTGCAATTTTTCAATCAATTTTTCTAAAAATTGATGCCACATTTTCAATTTTTAATCAAAAATATTGAAATTTTCTGGAAAAAAAGTGGAATTGCTCAAAAATTGTTTTATTATAGGGAATTTCTTTTCAAAAAAAGTGTAAAAATTGAATTTTCAAAAATTTTTTCTCTAAGTTCAAATTTTCCGCCAATTTTTCGATTTTTCATTTCAAAAGCCCCCCCCTAAAAATCTCGTGTCGAATTTGCAACATTTTTCGAATCAAAAAAACCCCCCGACGACGACGACAAATCAAAAATGAAACGTCGTAAAAAATATGCAAATCGGGTGTCAAAATGTGAATGCATTCGTCGTTTTGCGATCTATCCATCATTCACATTCAAATTTCTGTTCGAGAAAACGTCGAGCCAAAAAAAAATAGAAGAAGAAATGTTGTTAAGGCCACATATGGACGGATTCTCTATCAAGCTGTCGCTTCATCCAACATTCGTCAACAGCCGCCATTCGGAATTCAATTCGACGGCGCCGTTTTTCAGAAAATCAACGAGCAGTGAGTTTTCGAGAGAAAACAAAAATGCAAATTTCTATCGAAAAATAGCATTTTAAAAAACGATTTAAAGCTTGAAATATCAGGAGCCAAAATCGAGGAAAATTCAAAAAAAAAATTTTTTTTTTCTTTTTTGGAACAACGTACCAAAAAACCCCCAAAAAGACACACTAAAAAGCAACAATTTTCGCACTTTTTAATATCGCCAAAAATGGAAACTCATGAGCCACTTGAACTGAGTAACACGCGAGCAATTCTCAAGTGGTTGGGAGGGCCAAAAAAAATTTTAATTTGGTAATATTTTAAAGAAGGAAGAAGAAAAAACAAAGTGACGACGCATTAATGATTAATTTTGTTGGGGTGCGAATTCGATGAATTATTGACGAAAAAATGCAAATTCGGTCATGAATTAAACACGAATTTTTGGCTTTTTGTTCTCGTCTCGCCAATTGTTTGATTCCATGGGGAACTTGGCGACGAGTTCGCTTCAAAAACTAATTTCTAGCGCCAAAAAAAAATATAAATTTTTAATTAATTTAAAAATTTAATTTTTCTTCATATACCATATGTATTTTTAAAAGAAATCTATTTAAAAAATCTCATAAAAAATTCGAAAATATTGGTGGACGTGAAATGTGCCATGGCCGAATAATTCGCGGCCGCCAGAATGGAAGCCTCGCTAATTTCGATGACTCATTTTTTTTTGGCGGCTAATTGCCCAATTAAAGTGCGAATTTCTTACTAGCAATTTTTATTTAATTCAAAAATTCAATTTTTCTTCATATACCTAATGTATTTTTTAAAAAAATCTCATAAAAAATTCCGAAATATTGGTGGACGTGAAATGTGCCATGGCCGAATAATTCGCGGCCTCACTAATTTCGATGACTCATTTTTTGGCGGTTAATTGGCTGATTAAAAAATATTAAAAACACCAATTTTTTTAATTTTCGATGGTCCTCAATTATTCAAGACGCTTTTTTTTGCGATGGCAATAATAAAAAAAAATTTTCGAGCTCAAATTTGAGACCAACAAAAACATACCAAAATTCTAGAGAATCCGGCTGCCTCTCATCGCCAATCGCCTCAATTCGCTTCTCATCGCGCAATCGCAATCTTGTCCAACTCGACGATCTCGTCGTCCTTCTTCATCCCGCCGGCGTGCGTTCCGACCTTCTGCTCAAAGAGGCCCAACTCAGCGGTGTGCTGCCGTGCCTCACGATGATGCCGCCGCCGGCAGCGACGAATTGCACGCTGCTCGCGCCGCCGCGCTGCAAACTCCAATTCGACGCCGAGCCGATCGCCGACGATTCGTCGTCGTCGTCGATTCTCGGCGAATGGTTCCTCTACTCGTCCGATCCGATGTTTGTGCTCAATTGGCGTTGCACGTTCGCCGAAGGCGACGAGGCGTTTCGCTACGCGCTCGAGTGCCACAGCGAGAGTTGGGTCGGCGAATGCGAGCGACCGACGCGCGGCCATCTCGCCATCGACAAAACCACCGGCGCGTTCAACATCACGATGGAAGCGAGCGAGGCGTCGATTCGGACGCCAGAAGCCGAACTATTCCGTCACGGCAACATCACAATCAGCCCGGAGCGCATCATTCTCATCAACGACCATCATCTCGTCGGACGCGCTTATTCGTTGTGGCTTCGAAAGCCGGACGCGTGGAACGAGAAGGTTCGCGTCAACGTCAATGAGTACTGCATCTGGCCGCTGGAATCGCAGATTCGACACACCGCCATGCTCTGCTAGCACAAATGACAGTAGTAATTGAACGCGACGACCTATAAGATGAATCATATTTTGAAATCGTTGCAAAATTTGAAATTCTCGAGAAAAATAGTCGCCAAAAATTTCGGCAAAAACCATATACGTAAATTCATTTTTTTCGAGAAATTTGCTTTTCGTTTCTCGTCTTACCATCACCGTGGCCGCTCCGACCGTCAACGGCACAACGACGAGAAGCAGCGTGAGCAGCGACGTCTTATTGCTTCCATCTCGATCGTTGTACGCCGGCGACGGAAACGTCGGCGGCCTTCCGTCATCGGGCCGATCCATGCGATGGAAGACAAGCGGCGCGTCGTGATGAACGTCAACACCAGAAGGTTGTTGTTGTTGTTGATGATGTGACGACGGCGGCGGCGGCATCAGATGATCGTCGTGACGACTGGAATCGATATACGTGGATGATGACGATGGTTGCGGTTGCGGTGGTGGTGCAGCACCGGCTTTTCGTCTGAATATTCAACGGCATAACACACGCCACGCAAAAAAAAATGTCATGCTTCATCCGGCCCCCCAAAAAAAGGGGGGGGGTCCCTCTCAAAAACCGCAACGACGAATCGCTCGTGATCGACTTTCGCTCGTGAAAATGATTTATAAATTGCTGCTCGTTGAGCACCCACACACACAACTAAAAAAAACGTGTTGGTCGTCGTCGTTTGCCATGTTCAAATGATTTGTGACGACGACGATGCGTCGTCGTGAAGTTGAAGGGTCGAGTGAGAATATTCAAAGCGATGGTGTTGAACGGCAAGCAAAAAAAAATTTTTTTTGATCTACCAATTTTTTTTAATGCGAAATCAATAGTAAAACCCTTTAGTTGCAGAATTGGTAGATCAAAAATTTCTTTCTCGTCTGGCTTCAATGGTCCGACGAATCATTAAATTAGAATAAAAATTTTTAAATCAAATCTCTCTCCCTCTCTCACGAGATGCGAGAAAATGACCAGTAGATCAAAAAAAATTTTTTTCTCTGGATCTCTCTTCTATTCAGCCCACAAAAAAAAATCCATCGTCGAAATTTTACATACCAAAACGCGCCCAATACATTAAGCAAATCCCTTCACCAATAAATCACCCAACGGGTGAGAGGGCGCCACCAATTTTTTTTCTTCTTTGGCGCGTGTCGAAAGCAACAAATCTTTGGCGATTTTTTTTGGAAAATATTTGGGCGGCGAAAACGGTTGAAAATAGCACATGTCTCATTTCGAAACGGATTTTTTCGGGGCGGTTTTTTAAGCCGTGCATTTCGCCGCGTGCGGTGTGAGAGGTGCAGTGAGCAATCAGTCAAACGACAATGATGAAGAAGAAGAAGAAGCTCACCTTGTATGTGATCGTAGGAACGCGAACGTGTTGCAGAATGGCTGATCGCACGCGCACAAGTCCGTCCATTTGTCATCCTCATTACTGTAAAAAATATATATTAAAGTGAGGCGTTTTGAAATAATTCATCTGCGGACATCTCACCGGCTCTCATTTTTCGGTGCACTTAAATTTTCAGAGAATACCTATAGGTTACGGTAGCACGAGTTTTCGACTGGAACAATAGCAGAATCGCCGTTACAATTATCCAGATTACGGTAGCCCTTGATATTTCTTCTCTAGATTATTTTAGTGGCCCAAATTCAAATGATTTGCGATTTTAAGAAGAACCTTCTCTCAAGATTACTGTAACAACAATTTAGGTGTGTGACATATTAAAGAGGAAGCTTAAACCATTCTATTGTGTGCATTTCTGTGTGGATTACGGTAGCACCTGTTTAAACTACCGTATCGAAGAAAAAAACTGTAGCACCAGTTTCAGCTATACGATATGTCGAAGGAGAAGCGTCAACGCGAAAAAAATTGGTGGGGCTTCCGAACACTTGATTGACAGATTTCTGGCCAAGACCCCCCCCCCGTGCCCCCCAAAAAAAAAAACGAAAACGGCGACGTCGTCGTAGACAAAAGCGTATCGAATTCAATTAGATCTCTCACTTCTTCTTTTCTTGCCCACTTCACCTCACTTCTGCTCCTGCCGTGCGTGCCGCTTCTTGTGCTCTGTGCTCTGTGTGCTCTGTGTGTGTGCCGTTTTGGCTTACTCGTCAAAACTCTTCGAAAATTCAATTTGGTGACTCGCGCGCGCGCGACTCCCTGCTTCGGACTCGTCAGAAATCAACCACGATTCGACGGGACGCACTTTTTTCATTTATTTCGTGCCGACATTCTTGCACCGGCTCGCGTGCCACCAACCAGCAAAAAAAAAAGAGTTTTCAAATTCACTATTGAAGCGACAAAAAGAGAAAGAATGAAAGACCAATCACCTTATAAAAAAAAGAAAGTATAGTAGAGGGGGAGGGGGCACCTTTAAAGAATCTAACATCACACAAGGGACCATCAAAAACCACGACCAAATATGTTCAAAAAGCTAAGAGATCTCAGCTGTTTGATTTTTCTACGAAAAAAAATTTGAGTTAGAAAACTGGAAAAATGGCATTTTTCCCACAAAAAATATCACCTTCTTCAATTTTTGTCCAAAAATTTTTTTTCGAGTTTCTAATCAAAAGAAAAATTCATCAAAAAAAATTCCCAAAAAAACAATTTCGGCCCACCGATGCTCCTTTAAACTAAAAATGTTCGAAAGCCGCCTCTGCGTCACTAACCCGCCGACAATTCTCTTAATATCTCATCCCCCCGCCGAACTCTGCAAGAATCACAGCGAGACAAAGAAATAGAGACTTCGGCTAACTTTTTTCGCCGCTGCCGCCGTCAAAAGGTCGAGCACAACTTCTCACATTACTCGAAGCATTAGAGACATGTCGAAATGGTCCCTACTACCTATGGGAATAAAAAAAATGCCACACGTTGTAGTAGTAGTTGTTGTAATGCTAGCCAAAAACTTTATGCATTTTTAATTTTTTTTTGCTCCCTTTCTATCTCTCAACTAAAGCAAAAAGGACCACTACTTGCGAATGCATGCATCATCTTCATGAATCTGAAATTTTACGAGACAGATCCCTTCAATTCGCCTCCCAGTTTTTGCACAAAAAGGACCCCCCCCCCCAACCTTTTGGACAAAAAATTAATTACCTATGACATCCAATTGGTGTCGATCCGCATGTTCGAATCACTTGATTGCTGTCGCGCAGAATTCCGACGAGGCACACCGAGCCATCGCACGAGCCATACGGAACACAATGGTCGTCGGTGCAATAGCATTTGACGGCGTCGCCGAGACGGACGAGATGGATCGCGATGAGCAGAATGACGGGACGATGATAGTAATTGTTGCGCGGCGACCATTGCTCGACACCCATTCTATGTCATGCCCAGGCTCGATCTGTAGGAGACAAAAATTTGGATAACGCTGGTGGCGGTTTTGGCGAGAAAGTTGTGTGCCGCCTAATTAGGAGTGGGGAGGTTTTCACTCAACAATAATAAGTTTGGCCCGGCCCGGCCCGGCTCGGGAGGCCGAGGCTGAGCTTCTCTAATTGGTAGAACGAAGACCCCCCCCCCTACTGGCGCGTAATGAAATATTCATTATTTTCACACGATTCCTCAATTTCGAGCTTTGGCGGAGCCTGACAAAGTGCATGCCGACCCAAAAAAAATTATAAACATTTTCATAAAAACACCGAGAATCTAGGGAGGGAGGAAGAAAAAAAAAGAGCGAACAACATTGCTTTGGAGAGAAAAAAATCTGAATATACAAAGAGAAAAAGGCGAGAGGAAAAAAAAAAAACAAAAACAACAACAACAACAGCGGTGGTGGTGATGGACGGTGTGGCGAGCTCGCCGCCTCTCCACTGACAGAGCACGACGGCCGAGCCGCGGGGTGAGACACACACACAGAGGGAGAGCCGAGAGCTCAACGAGTTCTGACTCCGCCCACATTTTCTGCGGCGGCTCTCGCTGCTCGGCGAATCTATAAACAAATGGTATTGTTTTCGAGAATTTCTCGGCTATTTTATGGGTCAACTAGGTGAAAGCAAAAAATGAGAAGCCAAAAAAAAACGGCACCCCCCCCCCTTCAATAATTTTCGGTCACTTTGTGAAGAAAAAAATTTTTTCTGGCGAATTTCCGCTTTGTGAATAGGCGAGTAATTCGGACGGGTTCAGCGGCTCGAGAAATTCACAACATCGCATTATTCCGCGTCAAATGTGCTCAGATTAGGCGTTTGAATTATGATTTGTCGAGTGCACACAAATTGCAATGTCCGTGTGGAGTACAGGATTGCATTCAATTTTCGTCGACGACAAATTTTGGAGGTTTGAATTTCAAAAATTGTCCGCGTGGAGACTACATTAATGGAAGACTCGCGCATTTTGCAGAGGAACAATCTTATCCGTGCGGAGTACACAAGATTGAAGAATAGCGCAAAATAATGGTTTTCGGCCAATTTTGACACCTTCTCACACTCCCCAAATCCTCTCCGTGTGGACTACATCCAAGATTCAACAACTAAATTTCATTAGCTGCTTATCGCGAACAATCGTCTTCTCCGTATGGACTACACCAAACAAGATATTGTCGTCCGTGTGGACTACACAGAAGCGCGGAAAAAAGTCTACGTGGCTCCCCATAAGAACTCAAAATTTTCGATTTTCGTCGTCTGCCAAAAATCGAGAGGCGATGGATGGAGATGATGACGTCGTCGTCGACGTCGGATGAGTAGCGACACACCGCATACAAATTTTGTACTTCTCGCGCCATCTCAACATTCCACGCATGCGCCTCGGTGTACTCCACGCGGATGACAACAAATCAATCAAAGGGAGGTGGGCAATGGAGTTGCTATAATTGTCACCGCCAACTGAGACCCCCTCCAATGAATTTCGTTTTGTTTCGGCTTGGCCAAAAAAAGATCCATAAAAAGAATGATGATAGGGCTTAAAATGGCAGGGACCTTTTTGATTTACGATGGTCCGGTTTTGCCAAAAAATAATTTGAACTTCGACAGAGTCGCCTACAATAATCCGAATACGAGATTAGCCGATATTTTTCCACCTGGCTGATCATAAATCTCAGAAGCAGGTGTTGAAAAATTATAGAGCTCGCGGGGTTGGCTTTTCTGGTTGGGACCAATAATTTCCGGTCGACTCTCAATGGTCCGTATCCGCAAATAACCCGATATATATATATATATATATATATATCGCTTGACACCTCATTATTCGTCGAAAGAGATTCTAGACGTGTTTAGTAGTCACCGGATGACGACGGGACCCTTGTCGAGCGGCGCCGAAGAAGGAAGGCGAGCAACAAAAAAAACTCGAGGATGAATAACAAGAGGACAAAAAAAATTTGTTGAGGGCTCAACGACAAAAAAATTTCGAAATTTTTACCCGAGAGCAGCGAAGAAAAAAAAAACTAACACAGCCACAAATTGAAGAATTGTGGGATTTTTTGGCGAGACAACCTTTTCAACGATTGAATTTCAATTCGGATTTGATTAATGCTGCCTGCGAATTGACGTCCTACGGTAGGTCGGTATCAGAATTCAATCATCGCTAATAGCAGAGCGAAATTCAATTGCGAAGGGGGAGGGGGGTCTCTGAAAAAAATTGAAAAGGGAATGCTCCTTTAATCGCGATTACGGTAGTACAACCTCACAAGTCATTTTTTATTTTTCACGATTCTTTAAGAACAATAGCAATTTACCAAAAAAAAAAACGAATTTTTAAACTAAAGGGTCGCGTACCAATTGTAGATTTACGGCGAGTACAGTACTCGAAACCGCTTCAAATTTTGAATTGCCGCGCCAAAAAAAATGTGCGTTGGTCCACACTTATTCCCAGGGTGCTCGTTGTTTCAAATGGCAATTCGAAACATTGGGTCTCGCAACATTTTCGCGCCGGGGGCACGAATTGAGTACACAAAATTGATTGTTCGTGGCGAGACCAGAGCAGACAAACTACAGTAACCATCACAATTTTCCAAGTGCCGAAAATGCGAGAAAAAAAGAAGCAATTTTCACATTTTAAATACAGTAACCCATCTGGGAAATTTGAGAACAAAATGAAAAATAATAATTGGGAATGGGAGAAAAAATATCAACCCCGATTCTTCGGACCCGTGAACCCGCCGCCACGCTCTTCTAACAATTGAATTGGCTTTTCACACACACACACTCACAAAAAATCCCATTGACCATTATACATAATCTGATTGGTGTTGGGCTCCACTCGCATTTTGCTCTCTCTCTCTCTCTCTCCCTCGAAGACCTTCATGACCCACCACATTCAATGGTCACGCCGCGCTTTAAACAAAAATATATAATCGAAAAAGAATGCATGAAATATTTTTGCGAGCGAGAGAGAGAACGAAAAACAGATGGAATTCTCGATTAATCAAAAAAAAAAAAAAGATAGAGGAGATGAAGAACAAAAAAAAAGGAGAAACGAAGAAGGGGGGGGGCATCCACATTTTTTTTGTTGTATCCATATATGAATGAATGGATGAATGAATGAAGAGAAGCCGCGGGCAGCTAGCAGAAGAGTAGAAGCTCAACGAGATGTACATTATGTAAAGCCACAATATTTGAAGGGAATGTTTCGGATTACTGTAATTGTTCGTTTCAGTGTACTGTAACAATAGTTCGGCACCCCCCCCCCATCGATGCGCCTTTAAATTGTGCCCTCCCTCAATGAAATTAATTGGTCTCAGATCGAAAACGCCAATAGCAAACGACCCGCCATTAATTCTCAAAACGTTTAAGATTTATTGAGCGGCATTGGCGAGAAAAGAGAATCGCAATTCCGGCTGAAATGACGTGTCACTACCGTAATACAACTTTTCAAATTTCCATGGAAATTTGCCGGTTTATGGCCACTAAAAAAAGAGCCCCCCCCACAAAAAAAAACCGCCCCGGCTCAATGGAATTGCCAAATTCTTGATTCCATATTTTCGTTGGTACGATTCTAGGAATGAGATAGAGACGACGGGACAGCAGAAGAAAAAAGAAAAACGAAAATTGTTGCCTTCATCGAATGCCCAATGATTTCCGGGTGCCAATTTCAGCGATTTCGAATGGCGAGGAAGAAAAAAAAATGGCTCCTCTTCTCAATTCCGACGTCATTCTTGGAGGCGTTTCAGCGGAAAAATGAAAACGATGATTCGGTGTCGCGCACTTCCTTATTTTTTTTCTCATTATTAAATTTTAAATCCCGTCCTCAAAGCATCGCGATTACGGTAGCATTAGTTTTATGTGTGCCATCGAAATGAGCCATATGGAATTGATTTCGGCAGCCATCAATTTTATTTCGATGCCGCGGTTTCGAATCAAAACGCCATGCGCCTTTAAATTGTACATATATTCAATTTTCTGCAATTTTTTGATATATTCGCATTTCAAAAAATGCGCCTTTAAATTGTTCAAAAAAAAACAATGCAAAAATTTCGAATTTGAGCTCAAAATCTTTCACGCATCAAATGAAAACGTCAATCAAGTTGGCAACGTCGGATTGATCTGAGGCGAAAACTTCAATGGTCCCTATAATGGCTCGACAAAGCTCCGCCCACAATTGCACACACGTCAATAAATCATCAAGACAACAGAGAAGCGCATTAAAAATCGAATAAAAATTCGGCGTCGTCATAAATCAAAAGCTCATCACAGCCGCGTCGACAAACACGAAAAAAAAAAGCGCGACCGGCGAAGAATCACTTGTCGACATCAATCTTGCTCAAATTTTGATGCTCATCGAGCTCATGTAGAGCTGGAGCAGGTTGCTTGCTCCTGGAGGAAATTGAGAGGACGAGCGATTTTTGAGGGAGATGAGGGGGGGGGGAGGAGGACGACATCGACAATGTTTGTATTACGCTTCCCTTTCGCTTTTCCCAGATGGGAACGCTCAACAGGTGTTCGGCGAATGTGAAAATTGCGGGCGCCGTTTTATGAAAAATAAAAAAAAACGATACACTAACAGACACGCACAAGCACACATGAGAAATCGCGGATTTAATTGGACGAGAGTTTTGATGAGACGCATCTGTGGACAATTCGAGGGGTTTCGAGGGACCCAGAAGGTAAGGGGTATCCGAAAAATGAACTCGTTCAACTCAAATCAATTCATTTCTGCGGACAATTCGAGAGAAAAAATCGCATTGAAGATTGCATTCAATTATGCAATAATAACTAGATGCCCCAGTAAAAAATGCTCCGAAATCTTTTTTGAAAAAAAGAAATTTAATTTCCGGACTCCCCGCGTTTCTTTTGCCTCATTTCTCATCTTTAGATTCAGCTTTTCTGGCATTTCTTTCTCTCTGTGTACAATCATTTTATTCGATTCCATAATTTTTATTGTAAAAGAAACAATTTTTAAAAAATTAACACAAACCCATTTTATAAATTATGAAGAACTCTATCTGCGGACAATTTTCGAGGCCAAAAAATCGAATTTTCGAAAAGCTAAAATATCAAAATTTGTGTGGGGGCATTTCTGTTTCGAAAATGCGCATAATTATATAGGCGACGCAATTTCGCGATGTTTCGAATTGAAATGAGTCAAAAATTGGCAACTGACGTGAATTTGAGCATACATTCATGTGTTTGGTTGGTCTTTTGGAAAACAAAATCTAGAAAAAAATGAGTCAGAATGCGATTTGAAGATAATTAATGAAACGATTTGTCCAAATTTGGCTAATTGGACGAGATGAACATTTTTAGCATCAAATTCGAGGAACAAATTACCTCACGTCGGCGATTCGTTGAAAATGCTCGTCATTTTTTTTTTCGCCTGAAAATATGAAAAATTTCGATGGGACAAAAAATCGGCAATTTTCGAAATTTTCTTTTTATGATTTTTCTTTCAATTTCTGAAATTTTGTCAAAAATTGAGAATTTTCGATTTTTGCTCGATGAATAGCGCAATTATGCTATTGAATAGGAACCAACCAGCAGTTCGGACCCCCCTGCGTCACAAATTAATCTATTTTATTTGGGGCCCGTTTCTACGGCAACGCGTTTAGCGGAAGCCGCCATCTCGGCACTCGCCGCTCTTTTTCCCTCTCATTTTCCGCAAATTCTTCAAATATTTCTCATCTACTTCATTCTTTTTTTTTCAAATAGAAAATGAACACCTACGAATTGCAATGAAGCGTTTATGCATTCGCTGGAGCGTTTCGAGACCATCAAAGTCGCTGGTCGTGGCGCATTCGGCACCGTCGTCGTCGCCAATGACAAATTTGTAACGATTTTTCTACAAATAAAACATATGCATATTCGAAAAAACAATTATTTTTTTTTACTTTTAGACGAAGCGACGAGTCGCAATCAAACGAATTATAGTCACAAGTGCGCCGAAAATTCAATTGGTTCGCGAAATCAGCGCGTTGAGATGCCTAAATCATCAAAATGTGAGTTTTTTCTAAAAAAAAATCAATATTTCGACAAAAATACCGGACTGGGCCGCAATTTCATGACGCGGTGTGTTGCGTACATTCACCCACTACAGTAGCACGACGCAAAATTTTTCAATTTCAATTCGCTCGGCAAACTCGTCCATGGCTCGCTCGCCGCGCGGTCCTAAAATTGGTCGACACTTTTAAAAAGAAAAAAATGCAAGTGTGGCACACTACCACATGCTAATTTTTTAAAATAAACAGACAATGCCTCAAAAAGCAAAAAAAGCAAAGGAAATCAGACGCATTAGTGCGTCAACGTGTTGCACGTACTCTCCCATCTACAGTACACGATTACAATAAATCACTTCTCGATCAATTTTCAGGTTTTAAAGTACATCGAATGCTTCGCCCAAGGCGAAATTCTGTCAATCGTGACCGAATTCGTGCCGTTCACCCTACACGACGTGATCTCCGACAAAAAGCGTCCGCGAACCGAACAATTGACGCGCTGGTTCTATTCGCAGGTGCTCGCCGGCATCGCGCACATTCATTCAAAAGACATAATGCATAGGGTATGTGAATAAATTTGACAACCTTGTGGGACCTTCAAAAAACCTACATTTTCATTTATGGTATAATTTAAGGATATCAAACCGGAGAATATTCTAGTGACTGCGTCGAATATTATCAAAATCGCCGATTTTGGACAAGCTTGCATTTATCGAAAAGATTCGCCGAATGAGGAGTATGATATTAATGTAACTCTGCTTATCATTTTTTTTGAAAAGGTTGTGGGAAATAATATCATTGAAATTGTATCGAAAAAAACGAGAAAAAACAGCTGGCGTCAAATAAAGCGCACAAGTCCGCAATTTTTTCATTCCGTGTTTTTCGCTAACCAAATTCCGAAGAAGCCCTTCGCACAATATTTTTAAATGTCTAAAACTGTCAATTTTACAGAAAGACAATTTAAAAAATCGAAAATTTCTTAAAAATTTTGATTTGACAAACAATTTTCGCATTTCATTAAATTTTTTTGCTGGCTTCTTGATATTCTTCCCACTTTTTTCACGAATAGCCCCATTCGTTGAAAATTAATGATTGTCTTCCATATTAGGTAGCAACTCGTTGGTATCGAGCTCCGGAATTGCTTTTCGGTCATCGGCAATACGGTCCGGCGGTGGATGTGTGGAGTATTGGATGCATTTTGGCCGAGCTATTCCGCGGGAAACCCATTTTTCCGGTGAGTTTTTCTATTATGTGCCAAAAAAAATCAAGAATTCCTTTTTTATAGTTGAAAAACTTTATTTTTTTGCTTGAAATTTACACATTTCATCAATTTTTTAAGGAATTCGACTATAAAATGAAACGGGTTTCTTTTAAGGCTAAAAATTTTCCGCAAGTTGTCCGCAAATGACTATATCATTATTTTTCTGTTTATTGAAAGCCTGAAACTGTCCGCAGATGAGAATTGATATGATTTTGAAATTCAACCACCAAAACAATTATTTAGTGATAAAAGAACCCTGAGCAATAATATTTTATTGTGGACGTCGCCCGAATGCGGAAAATTGGCAAAATGCCCAAAACCATGGCGCAAAACTAAAAATGTAGATTTACGAGCATAAGGATAGGTTAAAGGCGTACAGCGCTCACCGAGACTTAAATTTTTTGGCATTTTGTCAATTTTCCGAAATAGCGCGACGCCGACAATACATAAGTATGTTTCATTTCGAAAAATTGTGTAGACTTTACGATCACTCATTTCAAATTTTCCATCTGCGGACAATTCCGAAAATTGCATTCATTGCAGGGTCGAAGTGAGCTTGAGCAGATTTCGGTGATTTTCGGGATTCTCGGCACACCGAATGAGGAGACGTGGCCGAATTGGCGCAAAATGCCCGACGCCAACAAATTGCTGTTCGAGCCGCGAGAGCCCAACCAAAATTGGACGCAAATATGTAATTTTTGGAAGAATATCAACCTCAAATATAATTGGCATTAATTTTTGACTCGAAAATTGATGAGATTTCGGGGGGAAAAGGCTCCATTTTCGAATTTTGAGCTAAACTCCTAATTTTTTTTCAAATTTTTTCGAAACGAAGAATAGCAAAATTGATCGCTTCGAGACTCCATCGGTATGCTCCTTTAACACCAAACATTTTTTCATTCGAAAACACCTAAAATTACTGATGTTCTAATTTTCAGTTTTTTTTTAATTTCCTTTTTTTTTAGAATGAAATAATTAATTAAAAGCGCATAGATGCGAAAAAAAATGAGCGTGGGTCTCGTCGCGACGGCATTTTCCCTTTAAAAGTCTAACTTTGCAGTGCGCCTAAACGAAGTGCCTCCAGCTCTTCTCAATTTCATTCGACTTCACCTCCAACTGTGCTCCGACTACCGACCGGCTGCGAGTGTGCTGCAGAAGCACTCATGGCTCGTCCAGGACTCAACTCCCTCAACGATCGCCTATCGAATTCCAAGAGCCATCAAAAAATCACGCGAATCGCTACCTCCAATTCACGCCTTCTTCTAGCTCAATTTCGGGTTGTCTTTTGGTTTCTTCTTTTTTTTTTCAAAACCAAAAAAAATAATGTAAATGAATCAATAGTTTATTGCGAAAATCCTATTAAAACATGAACCCTGTGGGGGCGAGAAATACTTCGAAAAAAAAGAGAGAAAATGTCCAAGTTTATCTCAATTTTTCGTCGCACACAATACCTAGTCTTCTGTCGAATCGTAGGCGTCGTCAAGAATCCAAAGCGATTCCCTTAAAGCGGAAATTTCAAGCGAATTGAGATTTTCAATTAAGAAAAAAAATTGTGAGCAAAATTTCAACAACAACAACATAAAAAACGATATATATATATATATATAGGGAAGGGGGTTGGGTGCAAGCAACGACGAGATTTTTTTTGGAATTAGTGATCAATGAGAAAGACTGCGCGAAACGAGGAGATCGAGGGATAATTTGAGTGGCGAGACCCGCGCGGAAAAAAAAATGAGAATTCAAATTTTGCCGAAATCGATACAGAAAATTGGGAAAAATTGGAGATCATCGCCAAACTCGATTTTTCAATTTATTATTTTTTTCTTTTGGACATTTCTCGCCCAAAATTTTAAAAATACAAAGATATCATTAAAAAATATGAATTTTTCCCAAAAAAAAAAGCGATTTTCATTAAATTTTTCCACAAAAAACGATTTTTTCCCCAATTTTGTGCAAATTTCGAGATTAATTGACGAATAATGAAATCACAACAATTCATCGGCCATCATTGATCCTTTTCGCGAAAATGAGCGCAATGAGCCGGTGTCGAAACTGTGCGAAACGCTCAGATAAGTCCTCGACACTCTAAAAACGACGAATTGCTAAGGGGAAGGAGAAAAACTGAAAATCTATTGGCACTAGGCAAATTTTGGACAAAAAAAATCGAAAAAACTCGCAAGTTTTTGAGTTTTTTGATTTTTTTTTTCCAAAATCTGCATATGGGAAAATCGATTGTTGCCCAAATAAGGTTGGCCACTGCAAAAAAAAAAACAAGAATCGCTTAACAAAATCCAAATATGCTGTTTTATTTTCAAAAATTCTAGTTCAGAAAAAAATATGCTGAATTTCTAATATATATTTTAAAATACCTCCATTTTTTTTAAACCAAAAGTTCAGGTTTTAAAAAATGGTTTGAAAAATTCAATGTTTTGGGAATTCAAAATAAAATAAAAGGTTTCTCAATAAAAAAATTGAATGCTTGTTAATTCTCATCGCCAAAACCACACAATTCAAAAATTGCACACCGAAATTTCTTCAAAAAAAGCCAAAACCAATCGTACAAATTGCAATTTTTTGTAATTAATTGCAATTTAATGAGTTCATTTCAAAAAAAAATACGCATATTTCACAGCAAATCGGAATTTTTTGCGAAGGGAACCTTATTTCCAAGTGCTCAATATTCTTTCTACACGTAGATCACTTGCCTCGTCCCGCGACGAGACGTCGATTGTTGGGCTCGAAGGAGAAGCTCATTCTGACAATCATTGTCGCTCAACGACGTTCGACTATCACCAACATCTTCATCGTCGTCCTACAATTGGGCATTTAAAGGCGCATGCCAGTTTTCCGACAGAAAAAAAATAAATTGAGATTCGTTTGACAATTTTTCAGTGGGAAATTTATAAGCTCCTTTAAAACAGCACAAAAAAGACCTCAAATTTCGAATGATTAGCCTAATTGTTTCAAAATTTGAAATTTCTCTTCAGGAAAAATCCAAAATGCCAACCTTAACTATAACATAATATGCGGTTAGCAATGCCGACGTGTTCGCCGCCATCGTTGTAATCGAGAACAACGGCTGAAGGTGTCCCGTGACGACAGCAAGCATCATTACTGTAAGAAAATGTGTCTATGCGCCTTTAAACGTTTAAAAAAATTTAAAAAAAAAGCCAACTCACAAGCATTATTATTTTGAAAATGATTGATTGTCAATGAGAGAGTTGTGATGAAAGCCGTCGGCACTTGAACTACGAGAAAACTTATCGTCACTGTTGTGATCAGAATTCGCGTCTGGTCTCGCGGCGTCCGACCAAATCGATTACTGTAACATGTATGCACCTTTAATCTCAATTATATGCCAATAAAAAATAACAAATGATCATGTACCTTTAAACTACATTAATGACAGATTTCGCAGAAAAACTCAGAAAAAAAAATTAAATATGTCTATGCAGCAAAAAAACTCAAAAAACCTCGGCCGCGGCTAGCTTTTCGGAAGCCTACAGTACCACAGGTTTTTAATAAATCGCTGCAAGAATCATACAATATATTTATGTGCCTTTAATCATAATGGTAAACTTTTTTTTGTATTTTGCTATCTGCATAGTACCTTAGTTTTTTTTTTATTTACTATGCTCCTTTAAATTATCTACATGATTTTTTTTAGATTTTACGCCTTTAATTGATTTATTAAACAATTACTTTCAGTACATTAACACCTCTTTTCGAGACCCTTTAATTTCTAATTGATATGCGCCTTTAAACAAACAATTCTCGAAAGACTCACTGTTTCGTCAAATCGCCCATATCAATCTCGGGTTCTCTGATGAAGCCGACATGAAGAAGAGCCAAAAGCACACCGGGAATGACAAATTGAACAGCAAAATCTAATAAAGGCAGAAAAATCTGAAAAAAAGGTTGGTCATCGTTTCCTCGACGAACGCCAGACACCTTCCAGAATGATCGATTGACAATATTGATGAGCGCGCCATCGCGTATCATGCATCGTCCCGCCCATTGCGGCGTCGGCTCGGTGTCCATGCAGAATTGATAAACGCTGGTGTCGTGCTCGAAGAAGCGTAGAACGGCGAGAATGAAGCACACGAAGAGAATTGTCCAAATCGCGCGCGAAAATCGCTCGACGGTTCGCAATTTGAGCGTATTTCGATGATATTGAGTGAGAAATCTGAAAATGGTATCATATTTTAAAGGCGCATTCGAGGGAGAATAATGAATTTTTAATTGTTATTAATTAATTTTTTTAACAAATTTTTCACAGGAATGTGTTTTTTTTTTTCAATTTTTAAACGAATGTAATATTTTGGTCAAATTTTTAGAGCTGATTAGTCGATATTTTCTTTATAATAAAAAATTCTCACCTGGCCGCTGCCAATAGCACTGAGAATAACGTCATCATGGTATCAGTCATATGCGGGATGGTTTCCATGCTTGTACGGAACAGGTGGCACATCACAAGCGATTGATTCAAACTTCTGGTGCCTTCGCCAACAAAATAATACCAAACCGTAAATGGAAGTGGTGAAAGGACGCTCAGCCAGCCGCAGAATGTCAGAAGCCAAATCATTTGGTATAGCGGATTTGGCTAAAATTTACGCATTTTTTTGTTTAATTTTTTTCCAATCATTTTCCATACAAATCTCCGGTCTCCTTCGCGCTTTTCCCGTTTTCCCATGCCCAACATCACGGCGCACAATGGGGCGATGAGCATTAGCAGGAGCATCGGGTAGGCGAACCCGTAGACTGCCATGTGCGACCAGCCGTTATTGAGACGGCCGAACATGAAGCCTACATTGGCGGCGACCTGAAAATATCAATTTTAAAATTTTAAAAAATAATTTGAAAAAAAAGTTCGGAAAATTGTGCAACTTCTCGACAGCGTGTACACAAAATTGCGTACCGTATCCTCATATCCTCAATTTTGGAAAATTTGAAAATGGGGATTTTATAAGGAAAAATAATAATTTGTTGAAAATCACAGATCAGATATAATATTATCTTGGCAACACAATTTACAATAATCAAATAAATTATATTAAATTGAATATTTTCATTTTAAAAGACTGGAAATAATTTCAATATGTTGAACAATATTTTTGGCAAACCACGTTTTTAACTTTATAAATTTAAAAAGAAGGACTTTCGCATCAAATAAAAATAACGTAAGTAAATAGAATTTTATAAATTAATTGGTTAAATTTCAATTCAAAATTTAAAAAAAACATCAGAAAAACAGGAAATTCCACCATCTTAAAATAATGGTTCATAATTGCGTCTCGGTGTTAACACCAAACGCGCACCGTACCCAGTGCGAAAAAAAAAGAGAAAATTTTCAAACCTCGCATCGTTTATGCGGAAAATCGTAAAAGAACCCGTCACCGCAGCAACATTTCGACGCCTAAAATAGAACAGGTGAAAAAATAAATCGAGAAATGAAAAGCGCACCCGCTGATCCTCGGTGGCGCATTGATCCGACGGCAAAATCGAGATGTTGTGAATTCGGAGGTCTTCGTCGCCGTCGATCGTCGTCAGAAGCATAATTATGCATCGAGAACACGACGAGCCTTCAAGAAGAATTCAAATGAATGAATCGATGATGATTTCAACAATAAAAAAAAAGAAAACACCTGGCCAGAATAAAAAACCACTAAAAAATTGATTGAGGAAAAAGTGTAATCCTTAGTTTTCTTTTTTTTCGCTCTATCAATAAATGAGGGATTAGAGCATTCACTTTTTTTTTCGTTGGAAGAAATTGAATAGAAATGGATATAGATGAGAGGGAAATTAATCAAAAATTCTCATCGAGATGAAAGAAAAAAAAAGTTCAAATAAACTCAAGTGGGCCCCGTCATAAAAAATTTCGCCATTTCGCCATTGTATCAATTTTTTCGCCTTGGGAAAATGGCGAGTTCGTAGAATCAAAATTGTGCATTTATGCTTGATGAAATCGACATTTTTCGAAGAACGTTGCTCATTTTTTCGATGGGAAATCATGATTTTCATATTTCGAATTTTTTTTTTCAGAATTTTCGAGCCAAAAAATGATTCAAATCTTCGAAAAAATGCCCTGAATCAATTGATTTTTGAGAATAAAATTAAATTTGAAATTATCGCTTTTTTCAGAAAGAATTGAATTCTAGCAAAATTCCGAGTTCAAATTTAGCCGAAAAACCAATTTTAGTCATTTCTGGGTAAGAAACTCTCAAATTTTCACATAAAAAATCGAGTTCCGCTTCAAATTCACTGAAAATCGGCCAATTTCAGTCGAAAAAATCGCGAAAACGCAAAAACTAACGGAAATGATTCACTAATTCGATGTTGGCGTGTCTGATAATCCATTAATTATTCAACAATTTTCAGACTTCCGCCAGGTGAGGCAATTTTCAACAAAAAAAAAACGAATTATCAAAAACCGAAATCGCTGTCAAGATCACACAGATTACCAAATAAGGTTTCAGGCCAAAAGAAAATCAACTAAATATAATAAATGACGTATAGTTAAACGAAAATACATATAACTCGCGCATAGTAAATATAATTAACTATATACAGGGTGTCATTTAAGTTCCCGCACAACTTTGAAGACGTATATTTCTGAAACTAAAGGTCCAAATCAAACGAGACTCGAAATATTTTTTATCTATAGTATAACAAATATTTATCTATTAACTCTTTTCGATTCGGCCTCCTTTCGGAGCTATGACTTCACAGAGACGCTTCGGGTAGGATGCGACTGTGGTACGCAGGTATTCGATGGAAAGATTGTGCCATTCCGCCAGTAATGTCTTCTTCAGAGTCTCTACACTTGAGTGGGGTTTTGCGTTGACCTTCTCCTGCAAGACCCCACACGGAGAAGTCAAGCGGGTTCAGGTCTGGGGACCAATCAGGCCATTCGGATGACTTGATGAAGTCGGGAAAATGGGTCTGGCACCACTCCTGAGTAGTTTTGGCAGTGTGGGCGGGTGCTCCGTCCTGTTGAAAGACCCATTTCTGCCCAACGAAATGCGTTTGGGTCCAGGGCATCACATGCTCCTCTAAAAAGTCCCGAACGTAGACTTCTTTGTTCATTTTCATCCCCTGATCTGCAAAAACCAGGGGCGCTTCCCGGTTGAGCAGATGGCACCGAAAACCATCATACTGGCAGGATGTGAGGCTCGATGTATTGTTCTGCTTTTCTCAGAAGCTTGCTGGGATGTCTGGGCAAGTACTCGATGGTTTTGTGAGTTGAATGCCGCCTCCACAGTGAATAGCTTCTCGTCGGAGAAGACAGTGACGAGATGTTCTCCAGACTGCGTGCGAGCAAGAAGTTGTTTTGCTTTTTCGAAGCGTCTCTGCTTGTTGACGGCCGATAGAATTGCCGCTTTTTGGACACGATATGGGGTCAGTCCAAGCTTCGTTTTGACGATTTGTTCCATAGCGAAGATGCTCATTCCCACGTCTGACGCCATCTTTCTCATGCTCCTGTGGGGGTTTCGCCTGATCCTCGATTTGACGGCGTTTATCTTCTGAGGAGTGGTTACTGAGACGAGTCTTCCTTGTCTGGGACGGTCACTGATCGTATTTAGCTCCTTGAAACGTTTGATGGTGTCGCAAACCGTTCTACGAGGCACAGCGAGGCGTTCAATGATGTCTCTCGGGCTCACATTTTGCTTATGAACTTCGATAATGGAAGCGCGATGGATGTTAGCCTTCGCCATTTCTCGGAAACACATCCGAAAGAGGTGAAACTTGGAAAGTAAGTAAAATATACCTTATTTAACAAAAATAAATTGTATTGGTGCACGAAAAGTGCGCCAGCCAAGCTCTTCATGGCGTCAAACTTTTGTGCGGGAACTTAAATGACACCCTGTATATATATTGTTAGCAACAATTAGTTTCGCTCTGTCATAAACATATGTATATCGGTGAGCACACAATAAATAACATAGTTGGTCGCGCGGGTCTCGACGCGTGTTTTTTAATGAGCCGCCATTTTGATCAAATTCCACTCGAGACCCGCCAGCAGCGAATACGGTACCAATTGATGGGATGTGTTGTATTGGGAAAAAATGACGAATTTGAAAAACTGCAGCGAATTATGATGCATTGTGTGCGTACACCGAGTCACCTACAGTAACCTCAACTGAAAATTATTTTATTAATTTTTTTTCTCTGTGTTTTCTTCGCGAAGTTATGGTTTTATGGATATTTTTGTGTTGAAAAAGTGTATTAATAATCATTTTTATATATTTTCAATGCTAATTGTTTTTTTTTAAAGAAATTAAATAATTTTCAGTTGAGGTTACTGTAGGCAACTCGGTGTACGCACACAATACATCGGATATCGCTGCAGTTTTTCAAATTCGTCATTTTTCCACAATAAATCAAATTTGAATTGAAGGGGGTCCGATCAAAAACCAATTCTCTTCGAGAACTCGAACCCCTTGAATCGAACCCCTTGAATACGGTAGCGCCGTAAATCGACAATTAGTCGGGTCACTATTCCACAAGGTGCTTTTTGCCATAAAAATCTGGAGCTCGCTTTTTTCACACTTATAGATGTTCATTTTCCGTTCGGGACCCATGGTTGGTTTACTGTAACACTGGTTAGATTTTTTGAGCACGTCTAAAACTAGTGCTACAGTAATCGAAAATGACTTGGTTGTTTATATGCGAACGCATAGCTAACTAATATCGCCGATGATTTGTATTAATAGCGACCAAAACGAAAAAAAAGAAGGAATTTGCTAATCTCGTGCACTTTTTGCCAACGTTTTGAGTTGATCCAATAAATCCGAAACAGACACACCTAATCCGATCTGCGGACAAAACGTGAGTTGAAAATGATGAGCGGTTAAATAGATGTCCTCTGAATTAATTCCTCACGTCCAATTCTCAGAATCCTCTCCCCCCTCGCCATTCGGCCGAGGCCTATCAGATAGAAGTTTATTGGAAGCGTGCTGCGGACAATTTCCAATTAATGCAAATTTGAAATTTGGGTCTTTGCAGAATATTGAAATAATAGATGGCGAAAAATGCCACAGCTAAATTGGAGTTACTGTAATACACACTGGACACTTTTTAAGCCCATCGGGGAAATGGACCCAACAACAATGACGACTACAGAAATCTGCAATGTCGAAGTGAAATTCCCCCCCCCCCTTTAAAACTATATCTACAGTAATCCAAACGAAATGGTGCGCCTTTAAAGCCGCCTACAGTAACCTCGGCTTTTGAGCAAACTAAACAGAAAGAAAAAGCTGCGAATGAGGGCAAAACGTGTAGAAGAATAGGCAGAGGGCGCAAAAAAAAAGCGGCGAGGAAAAGCTCAATTGCAAGCTGAGCTTCTCCATCGTCGCCGCCGTATTTTCTAATTAACGATGCAAACGAATAATTAGTGATTTCTTCTTCTTCCTCACTCCTTCCCCCCATTTTTTTGTGCTCTCCACCGTGGCAACATCTCGAGTACAATGGGCGATGGGGGGGGGGTCGCTTCTCTTAAACACGCTAATTATATACTATATGTATAGAGTAGCATGCAATATGAAATGCATTGGTAGCACTAATTCGATGAAAAAAAAATGCCCTCTTTAACTATGTATGTATGTTGAGTACAAAAATTGGGAAATGGTCCCTAAATGGGAGGCTTGTAGAAATTCACTCCCCTCGTATACATGGTCCCTAAACTGCCAATAGGATTTCAATGGTCCGTGGAAAATAGCTAAAATTTCATGTTGCTTTTATGCTGCGCGCGTGAAACGCGACGAGGTAGCAAACGCGCTCCACCGAATCGCGAAATTGCTGCGGACAACGGTGCGGGTTGTTGAGAGCTGGAAGAAACACCAAACCCGAGAGGAAATGTCGCCGAAATTTTATTTAGTCGATTTTTGTTTTCAAATTAAATTTTTGGCGAGAGAGAGAGAGAGAGCAAAAAAAATCAAATTTCATCGGTCTCGATAAGAATTTTTCAATCCACATTTTTTTTGGTGCGAAAATTTCGGCGAAGTTTGTTTTCATGGAAAAATTGAGAATAATCTCTCGAATTTTTGCTTGATTTTTCTGACACAAAAAACAAATTTCTTAATTAATTAATTTTTTTTGGATCCAAAAATTTGATTTTCTGGTTTCTGTCGGGCACAATAAAACAATTTTACAAAAAATTTGAGCTCAAAATAATCAATTTTCTTCTTTTTTGAATTTTTTCCCCAAATTCCACCGTTTTAATTCATAAAAATCATGAAAATCCTAAAATTCTAATTAATTTATCGGCTATCAATAAGGAAAATCAAATTTCAAAAATTCGAATTCAAGACACAAGAAAATTCATGAAAATTATTGTAAATTTCGATCAAGTCAACACCCGACGCATAATTGCACAGTTTACGTCCTACAGTATTCAGAAGAAAAACAAATGAGTACTGTAGGAAATAAAATTCTGCATTTTTGCGTCGGGTATATCAAAATCACCGTTCGAAGATTAATTTTTTTTTGCAATCACCATTTCCAAAAAAATAACCAAAAATCATTGGATCTAATAGAAAAATGCAATTTTCTCAAAAGAAAAAACAACCGAGACGATCAAATTTTTTCGCCTTCAAATTTATTTCACAGGAGGGGGTTCAAAAAACGTGCAAACAGCTCGAATATGCGGCACATTCAAATTTAGAAGCTCTCAAAAATGCATAAAAGTTCACAAATGAATGGGTTTAGTAACGGATAAGCGGGGGGGGGGGTGGGACCATCGAAAATTGGTGGGCCAGGGGTGAATGGAAAGATACGGTGAGCCTTTAAAAGGCATCATGGTGCCTTTAAAAATTGGATTTTGGTGGAAATCAGCAAAAAAATAGCTTGCAGAATTCGGCAATCAGCCAAAAGCATTTTCATCTGCCGACAATTTTCGGGGTGCGCAAATTTATTTTTTTTTGTTTTCGGCACGCTCACAAGATCACAAGAATCGGGTGGAGGTTGGAAAAAAAAACGAAGGAAATGCCTTTGATGATGGCTTCTTCTTCTTCTGCTTCTTCTCATTAAAGCAAGTGTCGAATTGCACTACTCGAAGGCGCGTCTCTCGTCGAGATTTTCCACTCCGATTATTTGAGCGGAAAAACGGATAAACAAATTGTCCGAATATGGAAATTATTGAGAGATTTCAAGTGGTCCTTTTTGGGTGGTGGTCCGATGCACGTGCGCTTCTCACCGAAATGAAAAATTGAGTTGCGGGAAGGGATTTCTATGAATGGGATGCGGGGGGGGGGGCGTGGCTAATTGTACAGTAACCATCGGCATTTTTGGCCTACAGTAATCCGAAAGTGATTCCGATCTAAATTCACTAATATAATGCATTTGCGATAATTCTTTTGTTCGGTGTTTGCGGACCTATCGTACCACCCTAATTACTTAAAGGAGGTGGACCCTATCTTAATAGAGAGAGATAGAGAGTTTATTTATTTATTTATATTTTTCATTTTTTTAGACTTATTAAAAATTGTAATTATTTGAACTCGGTGTTTGCACATTTAACGCGCTACAGTAACCCCCTAATATGGACGAAATTCAATTTTTTGTGAGAAAGAAACCAACAAAAAAATGAGGGGCTCAAAAAAAAATTCGACGCAACAAAAAATTCGTTCTCGTTTTTTTTTTTGAACCAAAACAGGAAATTGCAAATTTTTGCCCCAGAATTTGTTTTTTTTTGATTTGATAATGCCCCAACAAAAAAAAATTTAATTCGAATTTATGGCTCTTTGGGGGACCATTGAAATTGGTAACGAGTTCCAGGGTCCATCGAGATCTTAATCCTCAAATTTATTGGAGAACGAAAATGGGAAGATTGGAAAAACGGGGAAATTGTCCGCAGCAATGAAAAAATATGTGTTAGTTGAGACACGTGTTGAACGCAAACCCGCGAATTGTCCGCAGCTCGATTAAAAATGAGCACTGAGCCATTTTCGAGCACGGAAAGCACGTTTTCTTGACTCATAATCAGAAATTAATTTAATTTTTCATTTTTTTAAATATAAAAATGAATCATTCTTGCAGAATGTGTGGTTTCTTGGAATTTCAATTTAATGACTTCAAACCTATTTTTATAATTATCTGCGGACATAAAAAAGAAGCTCAATCGCTAATTTTTTGTTAAAAATTCTTGAAAATCGCAATTTTTGACGAATTTCGCCTCGAAAAACCAAAAATTTGAACTTTTCACAGAAAAAATCCAGAAAACCTTTTGAATGGTCCCTATAATTGGCACCTCTCGATCAAACATCAGTTTTGTCTAGTTGGCATCAAAAAAACGAAACAAAAATCATAATGGTCCCTATTCCAAAGCGGGCGGGTTTAAGTGGTCCCTAACTGCTGACAATCACAAAGTGATTGAGGAAGGTTCAACAATAAAAAGGTCCCAACCATTATCGGGCATTGGCCTTATAATAAAGCGTGCTGCGGACAAACTAGCGGGTTGTCTGTGAAAGAAAAATGATCAATCATCTACCAGCGATTATTATGGTCCCTACAATATGAACAAATGCGTGGCTCGAATATCTGTGGACATTCTTCCGGGTCTCGACGCAAAGAAATCCAATCTGCGGACATTCTAACGGGCCAATTTTTTTAAAATTGGAAAATTGGCGAATTTTGGCGAAAAAAAAAGAAAATTTTTTCGCGCCTCCAATTTCCACTCGATTTAATAATGTTGTCATGTCAATGGCGGCAAAGTGCAGAAATTTGAGACGAAAAAAGAAATGAAAAGAAAAACGAAATAATTCGCAGTATTTTTGGCGGCCAAAACTCGCGCGAGGGACCATCTCCATCCATATTAGGCGTCTATTCAGCACCATTCGAGACTGGGGACCCCCTTAATTGGGGCGGGCGTCGTCGCTCGCCAACCATCGAAAATTCGATTGGCTTTCATACATCCATATAGATGCCAAAATGTACACATATCTCAAAAATCAGCTGCCGACATTCAACCGGGTTGTTGTGTGCGGTATTTTCAAAAAAAAAGCATTTGGGGGCCGATTGCTGAGCGAGAGGGCCCGAGAAACAAAGCAGTGTGCGGTGGGGCGCGTTTGCCGCTGGTCGAAGGCAGGCGAGAAGGCCAAAATTTGTCGGCTCCCTTCCAATTTCGAATGGTTGGGCTCAAAGAGCATTTTGATGGGCCCTGGGGACCGGAACCAGAGGATTCTCGAACAGTCTAGGATTGTTAGAACGAATTCCTTTCGATTCTCAAGTGGTCCAATTTTCTGGCTTTCAAGAAGCTTCGGTGGTCCCTGGGGGGTAGCAATTGAGATAATTTGAAGATGGTGTGGGATTGCTCATTGATGATTTGACCCCGAGCAAGGTACCCGAGCGGTGTGATAATGACACCGATGGCTCCATTCCGGCAACCTCCACGAGATCACCAATGACGGTTCCGAGCGGGTCCGACTATTTATCGAAACTCTACCCTATCAATAATGTCAGTTTCTCTTATCAATTCCTGCAATTTTCTAGGGACCAGTGTGCGCGCTCGATCTCAAAATCGTTAAAAAATCGATCTTGCTCGAAAATTTAAAGATCGATCGATCCCGATCGATTTTCGCTACCAAGATCGATCATACTCGATCGAGCGCTCACACTGCTAGGGACCACTCAAAAACCAAATCGTGATTTCATTTGTGGGGACTTGTTATAGCAGGGAGGTTCGTTTCTAGGGGCCATTTTAATTTTAGCTAGGTTGAAGGTCCTTAAAACGACACTTTCAACAATTCCTACTATTATAAAACAAAAAAGCTTTTTCAAGGGACCATCATAATTATTGTTTCAGGTGTCCCAAAACTGAAAACCTCATTGTTGTGATTGATCTAGATGGGGACCATCACAATTATTGGATCCTAAATTTATAGAGAAAAACGCTCGGAAAGCATTCTAGGGACCATCATAATAAAATGGGTTCGATTTGTGATAGTTAAAATATTTATTGATTCAAAAAATCAGAATAAAATTCACAGGATATCGGAAGAGAGAGAAAAAAGACGAAAAACGATGAGAGAAATGAAATGAATTGTGTTGAGACCCTTAGGAATTGTGCGCTTTGCGTTTTTTTGTTGTTGTTGAGAAATCAGAGCAAAATGGAAATGGCAAAAAAAATCAATCAATTTTTGTTTCAAGGCAATCGGTTTCGGAGAACGCTTAATTTTACGGTTGGCTGCTGTTTGATCAATCGAATCGCTTCATCGTGCGTCATTCCTTTCGTGCTTTGACCATTTATGGTTATTAATTGATCGCCAACCTGAAATTTGAATTCTGTGAAATCTTCATCGATAATTTTGATGATTGGATTTCATGGGGAAAAAATGAAATTTAAAAATCCATTTTTCATAAAAATTATTTATCAAAAATTTCCAAATAATGGCAAAATGTAATTTTTTTTTCTCATTTCAAAATCGCAATTCTAGAAAAAAAATGTTTTGAAATTTTCAGAAATCCAATAAAATTTTGATTTGAAACGCTGGCTTTTCGAATTTCGACTAAAATTCAATTTTCAGCGGCCTAAACTGCAAATTCCCAAAATTTGAATGGTTCGTTTTTTTTTGAAAAATTTTTTTTTTTTTTTTTGAAAATATCGTCAATGCATATTGTCCGTGTGGAATACACAGGCGACTTTTAGCTTGTAAATGAGATAAAGAATTTGAGGTAAGTCTTTGGGACCATCCAAGCCTAAATTATCGAGATCAATTTTTTTCAAAAAAAAAAAAAGATATTAAAAGTTGAAGAGTCCTCAATAGAAATTGTCAAAATTCGAATAAGTTTGAAAATTTTTTTTTCGAAAAAAATTTGGTTTTTAGCCGCCACCAACCTGCAGCCGTCCGTCGGCTTTCGCGGGACCATCATCGGCGATTCGGAGTACAAATAAGGGCATCGACGAGAATTCTTGGCCGCCGCGAATCGAGAAGCCGAACCCGCGAGCGCCGCGTTCGAGCTCAACGTCGATCATTGAGCCATTCTGGAAAAAAAACCAAAAGAATGACGCAAAATTGAAATTCCACAAAATCTCCGCAATTTCGCGTCAACTATGATGTGACAAGACGCCAATTTTCGACAGAACCCAATTTTAAATCAAAATCCGCCATTAGTGAAATCTAAAACGCACCCACCACCAGCAAAAAAAAAGACACACCAGACACCAAAAAGCCATGCGAGCAACAACAAAAATTCGACAAACCGATGAATTGTTGAAGGCGAGGAAGAAGACGAAGCTCGAGGCGACGGCACCGCCGCACAACTCGTCCGCCCAACGCTGAGCCTCGCCATGAGTATGAGCTCGAGCTCGCGCAACTCGACACCCTCCGAATAGCCGTCGATGACCGACGAGCTTCGCAGATGGGCCAGCAGCGATTCTTGACTTCCGACCTAAATCACACGACGACGAGGACGTGAACAACGACGGGACAAACAAAGAAAGCGAAAAGCTTGTGGAAGGGGGCGGGGCATGTGTGTGTGTGTATGTGTGTGCAACAAAAATGACAAAAATTTGTGGCTCAACCAAAATCTCACCATCGGCACTCGATCATTGATGCTCATCGCGTCGAATGGAATGTAGGAGTTGTTCTTGTCGAACGTCGTCGATGGCGGCGGCGGCGGGAATCCATAGTCGCGCTGAAATTTGAAAAATTTTATTTTTCTCAAAGGCGCATATCGGAGGTTTCAAAAAGACTAAAAAAATTACTGATAGATTACTGTAGTTTTAAAGGCGCATGCATTCAGCTCGAATAATTTTCTTTTTAAAAAATTCAAATTTCTCACTTTTCTTTAACGGTTCATAGTGAGTTTCAAATTGGCGAGTAAAAAATTATTTTCAAAAAAATTACTGTAGTTTTAAAGGCGCATATTTCACGTCATTTTTCGAAAAATTTCTGTAGCACAAAAATCATAAAACTCAAAATTTTCAATTTTTTTTTTAAACAACTGAAAGATTACTGTAGTTTTAAAGGCGCATGCTTTCATTTCGAATAATTTTCCTACAAAAAAATTTCAAATTTCCCAATTTTATTGTTTATTCAATGACTACTGTAATTTTAAAGGTTCATAGTGAGTTTCAAAAAATTGACGAAAAAAATTGGTTTTAAAAAATTACTGTAGTTTTAAAGGTGCATCTAAAATTCACATTTTGCAAATTTTTTGAAAAAAATTGCTAAACGATTACTGTAGCTTTAAAGACGCATTTCTCAAATATTTCTGCGCAAAATTTTCTCCCAAAAAAAAATTCCAATTTCTTTGATCCACAATTTGTATTCTTAAAGGCACATATAGAATTTTGAATTAAAGCAAAAAAAAAATGATTTAAAGATTACTGTCTGTCGAATGAAAAACGAAAACAAAAATTAGTGTCGTGTTTAAAGGCGCATACCGCGTCGGCATAATTGCCATTGAGCGTGAAATTGCGGCTCAGCGTCGACGAGGCGACCGGCAACACCGGTCCGCCGGCATCCGGCGGCGCGACCGTCAATCGAACCGACAAACCCGAATCCTTGATCAACGCAATAATATCGGGATGCGGCATGTTGAGAATGTCGATTCCATTGACAGCAATCACACGATCGCCGACGTTCAATCGTCCGCATCTCGACGCCGGCGAGTTGGGCTGAATCTGTCCGATCGTCGAGCCATTCTTGTGATGCGACGACATCAACACGAATCCGAAGCCGTCGGTCTCGGCGCGATGAAGCATCACATCGTGTTTGGCGTCGTTCGTCGTCGCCGAATTCAGCGAACCGCGTCGATAGTCATTCCGATGCGCCCGTCGCACAACCAGCTTCACGTGTTTGTTGTGCGCGGCGGTTTCGAGCAAAACGACGGCCTCCGAATGCGAGGCGCCTTCCACATTGTGGCCGTCGATTTCGACGATCTCGTCGCCCTCCTGAAGGCGTCCGTCCTCTTCGGCGGCGCCGCCAATCACAATCTGACCGACCGACAGCGGTGTTTTCGATTCGCAACCGCCAAGAAGTCGGAATCCGAATCCCACCGGCTTTCTGATCAGCGACACTGTGATGAGGTCCGACGATCTGAATTGTATCAAAATCAATATGTGAGAATCGCAGCTGACAACTCACTTCTGATTGAACGTGCTTATCGGAATGTAATTCGGTGTGGCGAATCCAAGCGTCGTCGAGCTCGATCGAATCCGATTGCCGTCCCATTGATCAACACTAACCGCCGGCTGTCGTTGAAGTGTATTCCTCGACGGTTGCGATTCATCGTCATTCCCTCTAGACGGCAATCGGCCAGCCGGCGTTTTTGATCTACCGCCAACTGTCATCGTCGTCGTTGTCGTCGTCGGCGCGTCGGCTTCGCCATACCGAAACGCCGCCGACGGTGTTCGCGATCGCGATTTCGGCGAGACGCCGCCGGCGCGTTTCACCGTCAACTTGCCCTGATAGCCAATCGGGCGTTGTCGGAGCATGTCGACGAGCTGGGTATGCGGAATCGCGCGCACATTCAGACCGTCGAGCTCGACGATCGTGTCGCCTTCCATGAGATTCGGACACTGCGACGGATACAGAATCTTTTTGACGCGTTGTCCCTGCAGAAATGGAACGACGTGTGAGGCAAAAGCAAACAAAAAATCAAATGAGTCTCACGTTAATGCTGTCGGCGATCGTGAATCCGAATCCTTCGGCGCCTTTGAAAATCTCAATCTCGTGCAAATCCCGATTTCGGTAGGCCGATGAATAGACGTTTTCAGTGATGATCTGAAAATTGAAGAAATTAAACGATCGCGAATGTTATCAAATTTCTTTGGGTTACTGTAGGATTACTGTAATTCACAAATTTGCCCATTTTCTACCATGAAAACTACAGTATCCATTTTTCCTAAATTTGCCCGAAATTGTGTTTCAAACATTACAAAATTCTACTCTCATTTTTATTTTCCGCTTATCTGCGATACAGTAATCCTACAGTAAGCTCTTGTGTGCCCAATAAGACTACAGTAAACCCAACTGCCTATAAATATGGAATCCTTTCGAAAAAATATATGAATTTCAGTCTTTATAATTTTCGAGAAAAAAATTCAACCCAAATCCTACAGTAATGAATTGGTTTGATTAAAAAAGAAAACAAAAACTACAGTAACCCTATCGTAATCTAAAAACCGAGAAAGAACGTGTTTCAGAAATTTGATATACAGTACCGCTCAAAAGTCTATCAACCTTTGGTTTTTTGAGGATAACTTTTTTTAAAGATGCGGTATCGATCCAAAATTTTTCCCATTATTTTTTGGAGTGGTTTAACGTGTTTTGGCCAGCTGATTTGACACCTGCTTAATTAAAAAAATTTTTTTGAAAAAAAATCGAATTTTCGAGAAATACCGATTTTTTGGGGTTTTCAATAAACAGTTTTGGTTTAACAAAAAACAAAGTTTATTAACAAAAAACAGTAACAAACATAATTTAAAGCTCAATATCGAGTTGCAAAGCCCTTAGCTTCAATGACTGCTTGACATCTTCTCGACATGGAGTCGATCAAAGTGTCGATGGTCGACATGGGGATCTTATTCCATTCAGACTGCAGTTGAGCAAACTTCTCATTGCAATTTTTGGCTCTTTTGTTGGCACAACGTCTTTCCAACTCTTCCCATAGATGTTCAATTGGGTTTAAGTCAGGAGACTGACTCGGCCACTCGATGACGTTGACCCGACGGTTTGCGAACCAATCCCGAAATTCATTGTGATGCTGTTTACTTATCAATTTTCTCACCTTAACATACAAAGAAGTGTGATTTGGGTCATTGTCTTGTTGGAAAACACTTCCACGACTCATTCTCTTCAAGTGCGGAAGCATCTGATTTGTCTTTGTAGACATTCTTGTCCATGATCCCATTCACGCGATGAAGCGGTCCAATACCATTTCCAGAGAACGCACCCCATACCATACACGAACCACCGCCATGCTTCACAGTGGGTTATTGATACTTAGGATCATACCTGGACCAAATTGGTCTACGAATCCACTGAATTCCATCACTTCCGAAAAGCAGAAACTTGCTTTCGTCGGACCACAAAATCTTATCCCAGTCTTGTCTTGTCCAGTCGACGTGTTCCTTTGCCCACTTCACTCTGGCCATTCTATTCTTCTCAGAAATTAAGGGTTTTTTCACTGGACGTCTTCCCATAATCCCAGCAGCACAGAGACGACGTTTCACAGTCGAAACGGATGGTGGAGAAGGAGAATTCACGAAAACATCCCGTCTGATTGCAGGGACAGGGAGTCTAGGATTGTTTCTGGACGTCCGCAAAATATTTCTATCTTCACTACGATCAGTAATTCGTGGTCTCCCGGAGCGATGAGGCACAGAAAATTTTTTTTGAACTTCCCAGCGTTTACAGAGTTTGGAAATACATCCTTTCGTTCGATTGAACATTCCGGCAAGCGTTTTCAAAGTAAGTCCACTTTGACGACCAGCCACGATGGCTTTTTTCTCGTTATCCGTCAAGTCTTTGTTCCCAAAAGCTCTAAGCATTTCTGAAAACATGAATAAGAACATATGAACGGATAACTACTCTAGAAAAATTAAAAAAAATTAAAATTAAAAAAAAAGTTGAAAAACGCAAAAAACCTGAAAGTGTGTAAAATCGCGTCATGGACTTTGCGGATATGTGTTTGTGTACCGAATGACATGAATTATGTTTTAAACCCCATTTCACATTATCTCTGAAAGATTCATGTTGATCGGTGCAGTACTCTTTGAGAAATAAAGAAAAAACCAAAGGTTGATAGACTTTTGAGCGGTACTGTAACAAAATTAGTTTAATTCATCGATATTAGTGCCTTTTCTCATTTATTCAGGCAAATCAAATAAAATATTTTGAGAATCAAATATTCAATAATAAATTCTAAAAAAAATTATGAGAAATTCTAAAATTGATTGATACTTTCTCAAACTTATTGTGATTCAATAAAAATAAATATTTTCAAAGCGAAATTTCGAAATTTTTTTTTAAAGCAAATTTGAAATTATCTCAATAAGGTCTCTTATAATAATTTCTAAAAAAAAGTTCATTGAGAAAATTGACACGTTAGGTTCTCAATGAACCTCAAAATATTTTATTCGTTCTACCCGAGCTCTCTCTCTCTCTCCCTCTCTCTTTCTCTCTCTTACTCTGCAATGAAACCCAAATAGCCACCGACCAACTCGTACGTACCCTGTTCGTCGGATCGATGAACAACTCATAACCGCGACACACTTGAATATCAACCGCTTCTCCCACGGGAATCGCGACGAACACATCGCACGCTTCTTTTTGCGAGGCGCCGAGCAAAAGTTGGCCATTCACACGAACGAGAATGTCGCCGGTGCGAAGGATGCCGTTCGCCGCCGCCGGACCGCCGGCCAACACCGATTTCACCTGAAAACCAGTCACATTAAAAATTCATTTAGCAATTTTGAAATGCGCAATTTCGCTTTTAGCATCTGCGGACACCATAGCGGTCCAGTTTGACGCGCCACAAAACTTCTCATCGAAAATCGCGTTTTCCGCTTCTTCTTTTTTTTTTCTTCGAGCATTTCCTACGGGCTCATTCATGCTCACTTCCGGTGCCATATTTCGAGATTTCAATCGAGGACGTGAGGTGAATGGCAAAATAGATGGAAAACGAAAAACAAAAACAAATAAATTTTTTTTTGTGAAATTTCAATTAAATAGCAAATTTTTTCAAAAAAAAAATATCCAGTTTAAAGGCGCATCATTATGGCCCCACGCTAATTGAGCAATTAAGATGTCCGCAGCACGTCGTGCCCAAAAGAAGAAAAAAAAAACCTTCGAAACCGACCTGTATGAATTCGTCGCCTTTACTCGACGCGTCATTGCCGATCAGCGTGAATCCCAAACCTTTGGGCCCTTTGACAATTTTCGTGTTGATCAACTCGCCGCCGAGCTTCATCGGATCGGTGGTGAAGAGCGGATTGCCGCGGCGCGCCGCCTTCGTCGCCTCAACGTCGCTCGTCGCCGTGTCGGACGACAGCGGCGGATCGCCAAATTTGCGATAGCGCGTCGGCGAGCTGTCGAAGCCCGAATCGCGCGGCGACGACGACGATTTCAGTGTGTTGGTCTGGAAAAACAAAGACAATTCCAATCGACGTCAAAACTACAAATTCGTCAACTCACATTGTAGCTCGTCTGATAGCTGGGTCCCGACGTGCCATACTTGAATTGCGACGAATCGCCTGTCGATGATCCCGCAATCGCATACGGGCGCTCATATTGCGTCTTTTTGTTGATATGGCTGAAAATGAAACAAAAATAGGCTTGAAATGTACAGAATCGGTCAAAGAAACCCCGGTGTAGACGTTCGATTTTTCGAGGGTAGCTTCTCAACAAAAAAAAAGCCGAAAATCTCAACAAGCAGAAATTCAAAACTTTTTCAAAAATGTCCAATTTTTGATTGTTTTTTTTCTTGGTGAAATAATCCTCGAAAATCCAAAAATTTACACCCGTTTTTTTGATCGATACTGTATGTTAATGAAAAAATAAAGGGAAAAAATGATTGAAGTGGGCCTCAACTCGTCATCCTCATCCTCATCCATCTCCTCATGATGCTCAATGAGCCGCTGTTTCTGTTGCTCATCATCATCATCATCGCCAAACGATCTCGATCGAAACGACACCATATTTTGGCGTTTGCGCGATTTTTCGCGCGGCGGCGCAAAATAGACGACCGACGCGATGAGCTCGGTGCCCGTCGAGTACATTCTATTTTCTTTTTTTTTTTGGCACGCACTAGCCGCGTTTTAGCATTTCTCCAAAAAAAAAAGAAACAATTAATTATAGAAACAAAAATGTGGTTTTTTTGGCGAAACGAAAAAAAATGAAGAAGAAGAAGAAGAAAGAACACGAAATACACAAGGCATAATAAATTTGGCACCGATTTTATGGTGTTGAAATTGAAATCGAAATTCTCAGCGGCGGCGATGAAAAATTGGTGAGAGTGTCGTCTTTCCATTTTTTTTTCTTTCTTTTTTTTTTGCAAAAAAATAGTCCTGATGAGATTTTCGCATTAAAAACACGCATAAAATTGGCGGGGACCATATAAATTCACATCTGCGGACGCTTCCCCCAACCCCGTCCCCCTAAAACTCTGAAATTCACATATTCAAACATGGAGCTCTCTCTCTCACAGAAAAAAATCACTGAAAGCTCTACACGAAGCTCAAAGCTCAAAAATGAGTTGTGCACACCAACAACAACAACAAAAAAAAACATGGCTACGCGCACCGGGACCACAAAGCCCCGCCCACAATTTTTGAAGGAGCGACCTTCTATACATATGGATGTATATGAATAGGGGGAAAAAAATCGTGTGCATGTGCACGCGTGTGCACACTCATATGCGAGCCGCACAGAGAAGAGAGCTCAGCTCGACTCGACTCAGCTCGACCCCGCAGCAGCAGCAGCACACACACACACCAAATTTGGTTATCTCGTTCCGAAATTTTGTGCATTTGCGGGTGTGTCGCTCTTTTGAGCTCCTCACAACCCAACGCGCTAGTCGAAGAAACACTTATCTGATGGCCGGCCACCCTCGCAATCATCAATGATGGGAGTCTTTTAAAAAAAGCAGGAAAGGGGGGAGGGGTTTGGATGAAAAGTGATCGCCAAAAAAAAAGAACAACAACATTAAAGGAAGATGCTGCAAAAAGCTCGAGGTTAGATGAGTGTATGAGGCGGACACGGATGAGCTGGCGAGGAACCCGAGTTGGCCAGGAGCCCGAGCTGGCTAGAAGCTCGAGATGGCTAGAAGCTCGAGTTGGCTAGAAGCTCGAGTTGGCCATGAGCTCGATTTGGCTAGAAGCCCGAGTTGGCTAGAAGTCCGATTGGGCCATGAGCTTGAGATAGCTAGAAGCTCGAGGTGGCCAGAAATCCGATTGGGCCATGAGCCTGAGATAGCTAGAAGCCCGAGTTGGTCAGGAGCCCAAGTTGGCCAGGAGCCCAGGTTGGTGAGAAGCCCGAGTTGGCTAGAAGCTCGAGATTGCTAGAAGCTCGAGATGGCTAGAAGCTCGAGATGGCTAGAAGCTCGAGTTGGCTAGAAGCTCGAGATGGCTAGAAGCTCGAGTTGGCCATGAGCCCGATTTGGCTAGAAGCTCGAGTTGGCCATGAGCCTGATTTGGCTAGAAGCTCGAGTTGGTCAGGAGCCCAGGTTGGTGAGGAGCCCGAGATTGTCGGAGGCACAACATCGCGGTATTAATTTTTTTGCGTAGATCATATGAGAAAAATGTTGAGGAAGAAAACGTCAGCAGTCATTTACAGGTTTTGCAGGAAAAAAACTAATTTATCTGAAATTTTTAAAACAAGTTTTTTGGGCTTCTATCACCCCATTAGAACATGCCAATTTCTAGGCTGATTGATTGCCGAAAAAAAAATAATTGTACATACACACTCACGCAAAAATGCACACATTTGATTTTAAAATTTTCTCGAAGAAGAATCATGATTTTAGTTGAAAATTTTTAATTTATGATTTTTTCTTTGAAAATTTCCTTTTTTTGTTTGCTTATTTCACATTTAAAAATGCGATTTGTGGCGATGATTTCTGAAAATTGGCGGATGCCAAAATTTTTTTCAATTCATTTTTAAAGAAAAAAAAACTTAATCTACAAGGAAATTTTCAGCGAAATAAAGAATGTTTTCATATTTCAAAAATGACGGATGAGGAGTGTCGGACCCTAAATGGAGCAAATTTCCAACTTACTCAACATAAAACGTTCCATAAACGGGATCATCGACCTGCTCCCAACCGGGCGGCAATTCTCGCGGATCGTCCCATGTCGTCGTGCCCGTATTATGGCTGAAATCAACCGAAAATCGTCATTTGCTCAATTTTTGCTCAAAACAAATTAAAAACGCAAAAATGTTGAGTTCAATATTCATAAAATCCCAACAAAAAAATGTCGAAAAAAATTTGTTTAATACTTTTTTTTTCGATTAATTTTTCCATCAAGCAAACTTCTCAAAATCAAAATAAGAAGAGAGAGAAAAAAACGAAGAGCAACGCACTCGATGAAATATTTGTCGCCATTTTCGGTATAGGCCGTCTCCCAGTTCGGCGGCAGCGGTCCTTCGGCGCACATCACCATCTCGTTGTCGGCATAACACTCCTGCGGTCGCGGTGTTCCGTACAAATGGCCTAAAAACGAATTATTGATGGGTGGACAACAAAAATCGACGTGTAAACACAAATCGATAAATAATCAATTGATTCATAACGCGCGCTTTTTGATGCATGCCGAACACATGTGTGACTCATTTTATTGATAACGATAAAAACGCGCTCGCTCATCGCTCAATGATGAAAAATCTCATCTGCGGACAATTGCACGGGGTGGCATAGAACTTGAAATAAACCATACTTGACCGCCAATCATTTTTGTTTGGGGACTTCTGAGCAAATTTTTGTTCCAACAACAATTAATTCTACTCAAAATAATGCAATTCGAAAGTCTTATTACGCTAAACAAAGGTCTCGCTGTAAACTTGGAGTGTCGTTGCGGGTCAGGGTGAAAATTTGCAAGTATGAAATAAACTATAATCGGCCGCCGGTACGCGGGTAGATTTACGCGCATGCGCCTTGAAAAGGTCTCGTCACGTCTGTACGCTTAATCTGCTGTTTTCGCGCCAACTTGTAGAATTTCTTGGAATTTCTAATGTCATTCGATTTAAAAAAATGATCAAGCCGACCCATAAAATGCGAAATAGCGTGTTAGTCGGTGCGAGACCATGAGAAAGACGCATCCCCGTAAATCTACCCGCGTACCTTTTTTTTTTGGTTTACATGGTCCAACGATTGGTGTACTATTACGAGAGAAACCATTTATAAAATGGCATTTATTATAATTTAATTGAATACGATGAATTTCAATGGCAATAGAAAGGCCCGAACTTATTTAAAACTCAGACATTCATCTAAAATGTTCTAGAATAATTCGATCGACGAAATAGAGAACCTTGGGACCAAGATTCCTTGCGAAAGTCTAAACAGCTGTACTGATGACAAAATCAATCTGCGGACATTTTCAATGGTTCATCAATGACTCGAAGAAATGCAATCTCAATCTGCGGACAATTGTGTGGAAACGAAACGCGCGCAAAATATTACCATCGCAAAAAAAAACCAAAGGACCATCGAATTCTTTTCCGATGGGGGTGGTAATTCAAACATCGATTTAATCAAAGGAAAATTGCGGGGTGTCGTTCTTCGGCTAACCAGCAGGACCCCGATGTCACAGTTTCGTTTTTTTGCAATATTAGAAAAACTCAATCTGCGGACAATTTCGATGAATCGCCCGACCGGTTACAATAGACGGAATATTTGAAGAAGAAGAAGAAAAAAACCGCACCTACGAGACCCATTCGACGGATTACCGTATTTCTGGAACCGACTATACATATGTAAATGAGTTGAAAGCAAATATTACTCAATAGAGCACATTTGACACACAAATGTACAAAAAAAAAGACGTGAGAATCTGAGTATCGCATTTCATATGAAGCTCGCCGTTGGCTTATATTTCACAGCTTTTTTTCCTCGTCATTTTTTTCAGCATTGACTCTAAATAGAGAAAAGAATGAGAGGACGAATTCTAGAAAATATTTTGTGATCGATTTCAAGAACCAATTAAAGATGCCATATTCAGGTAGATCATTGAGACGCAGAGAAAAAATGGTAAGAAACGTAGAGTAAGATGCTTCCCAATAACAATAATAATAATAATAACATCATATATGCAAATATACACAATAAGCATCAGTCGAAGCACGGTGACCCATCGGGGGGACGGCGTTCGAATATTTGTTGAACATTGCTGCGGACATTGACGTGAAGAGACGCAGATGGGGAGGTGCGCTCGCGGGAGACCCCCCCCCCCTTCACAGCCATCTCACGCTTGTACATTTCCATAAACGGAATGAATGAATCGGGTCTGGGCTACGCAAACGCCGATAACGATCTTGGACGCCTCCGGAAAACATTTTTCGACGCCGTCGCATTTTTGATTTGTAATGATTGAAACGCGCGCATTATAGAGCGGTAGATACGGTGGCGATTTTTAAAGGCGCATGCAATCAAAGGATCAAAAATGATTAAAAGGAGATTGGAATCAAGCATCGTTTATAGCCAAATGAAGAATGAAGCATGTTTTCCATTCGAGACCCAAGGCGGCAATTCAAATTTAAAACGAAGACAGCACCTCCCAAATGTATTGGAAGTAATTCAAGAATTGCTAGCAACCCACCCAAAAAAAAATTGATGACAATGACAGTGGTGCATTTTAAAGGCGCATACTGATTGTTGGACGAGAAACACCAATTCGAACCTTGACCTTTAATAAACACAATACACAGAGATGGGGGATTGCAGTTTGTCGAAATTCATAAAACGAGTGAAAGTGATCGGGCAACGAATTTCCGAATTAACACGCAATTCAATCCGAACATGAACTACACACCTTCAATTATGATGATTCGAATCGAATCGTTCCGCCCGTCACACTTAATAACAATTGCTACCGTATCGAGCAAAAGCAAAAGAAAAAAACAGGCGGTCAAACATCGAAATCAATGGTCCCACAACGATTATTGTTAATTGAAAAGGGTTCCATGGTAATTAGTACGAATTGGCAGCCATCGTCGGAAATGGTCCGCCACACATAATTGCGATGATTCGCTCCCCCCTAATCAATACGACCACCAACAAAACGACACTGGGACGTACCTTTTGTACGACGACCACAATTCGCCGTCGTCGTCACGTCCTCGGACCTGGTTCGTCGCAATTTCGCGGCTAACAACAATCGCCGAACACGCTGCATCGATGATTCGAGAGAGCGCGATCGGCTCCGAAATCGTCGACAAAACGAGACAACAATAATTGACAATGGGGGGGGGAGGGCGGGGCTTGAGGGTCCGAACCCGAAAAACGTGGCGGTGGAAGCTGAGAGAACACAAGAGGGGCGGAAAAAAACTAATTTGTGCCCCCTCCAACAACTTCATTTCTTGTTTTGGTGTTTCGGGTCGCAAAAGAAAAAATGAAGAAGCAGAAGGTGCACAACTTCGTTCCGCGTTTTTGCTCATTGATCTACTGGTGTCGAAAAAGTGCGCGGATGGCTCTTTGTGCGGATTACAACACGAAAAGAAATGCTCGTTTTGCAAAGCAATTGAAGTGGGTCCATCCACCCCGTGGTCCACCCAAGCCAAGGACCGAAAAGCTTCGAAAGCTGTGGTTCGCGCCTCAATAGGCGAAGGACGAAACGATTAAGTGTCTACAGTACCCAAGAAGTCTGCATTGCGTAGGTTGAAAGTCCGCAATTTCGCGTCGCAAGCAGACAAAAATTATGGTGCTTTTCACCGCCTCCAAAAACAGAAAGAAGCGGAATTGTTCGCTGCAGGACCTTGTAGATCAAACGTGTTGTTGGTCATGTTCAAATCAAGAATTTTGAAGAAGCACACAACGCGTCTGTCGACATTACGTTACCCGCTTAAATCTCAAAAAAAAACTACCCGAAAAAATACATAATCTTTCTCTAATTTGTCTACCGTAATATTGTAAAGTCCGCAATTTGTCGTCAAATTGAATGTTTCTCGAATTGCGAAAAACAAAGGAAGTCAAACAATATCGAGGTCCGCAAAAGTGCGTCAAAAATTGCGCATGAATATTTATTCGATTTGATTCGTCAAATTGAAAACCCAGAAAAATTCGTGGCGATCTTTTTTTGTCTGCATTTTTGCGTCTAAAATTCGACAAATTTCAACTATTTGAAGATTCGCGTCAAAATCACTTCGAGTCCGCGATTTTGCGTCAAAATCACTACGAGTCCGCAATTTTGCGTCAAAATCACTTCGAGTCCGCAAATTCGCGTCAAAATCAATTCAAGTCCGCAATTTCGCGTCAAAATCAATTCGAGTCCGCAATTTTGCGTCAAAATCACTACGAGTCCGCAATTTTGCGTCAAAATCACTTCGAGTCCGCAAATTCGCGTCAAAATCAATTCGAGTCCGCAAATTCGCGTCAAAATCAATTCGAGTCCGCAATTTTGCGTCAAAATCAATTCGAGTCCGCGATTTTGCGTCAAAATCACTTCGAGTCCGTAATTTTGCGTCAAAATCACTACGAGTCCGCAATTTTGCGTCAAAATCACTTCGAGTCCGCAATTTCGCGTCAAAATCGAATCGGGTAATGTCGAGAAAAAACAAAGAAAACAAAAATGAAGGCAACAGAAATGGTTTGGCAATTTGCCGGCTTAAGCATTCATTCGCGCGGCCAACAAACCAGTATGAGATTCAATATGCCAATGGGAATTATGGCAGAAAGCCAAAAAATAATGGAAAAAACGTGGGGCCGAATTGAGGCGACAAAAACTAGTCGCGAAAATCCGAGCGAATGAGTTCAAGTGGAGCGGATGAGAACAAGCAGATTGAATGAATGAAGCCGATGGGCTGGGCCGGGGGGTTGGCGGGGAGGGGATGTCGAAGTAGTAGCGAGGAAGCGAGGAGGACGACGAGGAAGACGACACCGATTGAATTAGCAAGACTTGATTACAACTATTTGGAAGACCAAGACCGATTCTCAATTCATTGTGTTTCGTGGTAGCCAAAAAAAAATTTTCTTTTTTGGAAAGTTGATTTTTCTTTCGAAAAAATTTGGGTTGAAAATTTCACACCGCCAAAAAAAGAAAAAGAAATTCGAAACGGACAAGACGACGAAACCAAGCGAGTGCGAATGAAATATGAATTTTTTCTGGCGTGTGCAGACCCACCCACACACGTGTCGTCAAGATGCCATGATTAATGGGACCCTCGGGACATGGATTTGACGAATATGGAAAACCCGTTATCATGTTTTATTAATCAACAATTTGATGGTCCGAACAAAAAAAAATTCAAATTTTTGAGCAATTCCAGCATTTCTTTTTTGTCAAACCACAAATTTTCAAATTTCAACAAAAAAAATCCGAGGATTTTAGTGGAAAATTGCATTTTTTTTTCAGCAAAATTTGAATTTCCACCAATTTTCATTCAAAAATTGCCGATTCTTTCAAAAAAAAAAACTCGCCGCCAAATTTGAGACATCGATGACGAATCGGTCGATTTTCGGCTTTCTTTGCGCCAAAAAAATGTCATAAAATCGCAAAAACTCGAATTTCTCTAAAGAAAATCGCCATTTTTTTTTCAAAAGAACCTCAAATTCGACAAGGAGAATCATGAGAAACAAAGATTAACTCGGAATGTGAAAAATAATTTGAAAAATGTTTAGAAATTCACGAAAATGTTTTTTATATTTCGCTTCAAAATCCACTTTCGACGATTTTTTACGGGAAAAAAACCTCATCTTGAAGGTCAATTTTGTTTCTAAATTAAGAAAAATTCAATAATTTATAGATTTTATCGATAAAAATTGCAAAAATTCACAAAAATCGCCAATTTTGACGTCGAAAATTGGAATTTTCAAACGCAGCGCAAATTTCAGCAATTTTCGACGATCGCAAGGTTTCCATCGACAGGAATTGAAGAATAGAATGAAACGGAAACATTGCGGAACAGGAAAAAAAAAGAAAGAAAGAAAACGGTTGTGGATGAATGCACGCATGCAAATGAGACGAATCGAATACAGGCAACCGAGGGGGAGCGAGAGAGCGTGGCAACGCGAGAGACGCAGACGCGTTGCGCAATACCATACAAGGTCATTCGGACGCCTACCTTGATAGGTGCCGCTTTCGAGCAGCTCGCCATCGTCGAGCAATTTGTTGAACTCGTCGACGCTCACGAATCGATAGTGTTCGCCGTCGATCTCATTCTCGCGAGCTGGACGAGTTGTGTCTGCAATACAATTGAGATTTCGATAGAGTGAAAGAAAATTGAAAAAAAAATCATAAAATCAAACCCAAAATCGTCATTTTTTCCAGCACCAACCTCAAAAAATTATTAGAGTTTGGCGACAAATTTGCCCTTTTTTTGGGTTTCCCAATTTCGCGGTTTTTTTTTTGAATTTTGGTCGGTGGGGGCGTAAACAACGGAGTGTCGTAGACGCCCTCGTTTTATTTCCACCTATTTTCGCTAACTCTCTTCAATTTCTATTTCACTTTTACAGTAAAAATACTTCAATCTACTCAAGTGAGAATCAAAAAATGAGCCTATTGGTAGTAACGAAAGAATTTTCACAAAAAGAAAAGATTGAAAAGCGAAATCGGCTTTCAGTTGTCCAAATTTTTTTTTTAATTTATGTGTTCGAAAAAAAAAGAATTTGATAGCAAAATTTAGATTTTATTTGAAAAAAAAATTCAAATTTTATTTTTTTACTTGACCGATTGGCCGGCTTTTTTTGGAAAGTTGAAAAAAAGCCGGCCGGCCCGCCGCCGATTTTGACAAGCTTCTGCGCATTCACAGAATTTCAGACCAATTTTCGAAACGGCGCAGGTTTTTTGGGATAAAACGAAAACCAAGAACAGAATGAAAACCTTGATAACTTATAATTTAAATTTAAAAAAAAAACTGTTTTTAGCCATATGGTTTTTTCGAATTTTTTCAAAATTTGAGAAAAAACTCATTTGAAATTCGCGCGCCAAAAATTGACAATTTTAAATGCAAAGAAAAAAAATTGAATTTTTAATGAAACAAAAAGGAAAAAATAGGTTTCGACACAAAAAAAGGTTGAATTGCGAGGAAAATAGGAAAATTCAAAAATCGCCGAAATAGTGTCATACACGCTTACGCAAAAATGCACACATTTTAAATGAATTCGCTTTTGAAAATTCATTTCGTCAAGATTTTCTCGAAAAAGAAAAAGGTAAGATTTCAGTTGAAAATCGAAATTTTGCTTTTGAAAATTAGCGCGAAATTCAAAATTTAAAAAAAATCTATTTAAGCCTAAAATCGCGGGGTTTTTTTTCCAAATTTGGAGTTTGATCTTTTGCCATTTAAAAATACCATTTTTGGGTGTCTTCTCGATGTCGCCAAATGGCGGAACAACGATAATCGGAAGCGATGAGCGTCTCGTCAAAAATGCTACGCGAATTGTCGCCGCCGGCGGCCAATCCATCGAGGAATGTGAGAAGAGGCTAGCTGGGGAAGGAGGGGAGGAAGGAGGAGGCCGATGGGGGGCCATAATTCAACTTGGGACCATCATCAAAAACACACAGCTGTCGTCACGAAATTGAAACATTCAAAAGGCGAAATAAATCGTATACAAAAAAATATATAAACAATTTTATTAAGTGTGGGATTTCATATGAGAAACTCAAATTTTCGTAATTTTTCAGCGACAACCTGGAATTTCGCTTCGAGACCCATCACATATATTTTCTGCTCAAGATTCACACTAGGAATTAAAGGCGCATAGGTCGAATTTTAGCGTCAAGCAGTAACATTTTCGGCAAACTTTTAATGGCTTAAATTTCACATCGCTGCCAAATTTTTAAAGGCGCATTCACTCATTTTCGATGAACCAAAATGAAAAAGCTTACATGGCACAGTTTTGGCATACAAATTCTCGCGAATAATCGTCTGCAAATCGGATGAAGCTTTTCGATCGGCCAATATTTCAACAATTTCATCGCAAATTCCGCCTTCAAACAATTGAATCAAATGAGTTTTAAGCTCAGATTAAAAACCAAAAAAAAAAAAAGAATTTACCTGCCGGTATGATCTCGACGGCAATCTGATCGCGATTCCTCATCGATTCCTCCAGAATCGAATTGACTTCCGAGCGAACCATTCCCGACACGTTTCTGAAAATTTGCAGCCGTTCTTTTTTTTATTCAATTGTTTTTGTTGGAAAAATCGATATTTCTGACTTTTTCAGAAAAAAAAGTTGAAAAATTTCTTTAAAAATTAACTCTTTTCGGCAATTTTTTGGAAAAAAAATTTCGCAAAAAAAACAGTAGGCCCAAATTTTGCCAAATTTGGACTCCGCGGGGGCTGCCAATTAACCAATTAATATTAATTATGTGCCCTATGCGCCGAGAAGCATTTTTTAAGCAACCAAATAATTAAAATGCATTTTTTTTTAATGCAAATTCAAGTTTTTTCATAAAATGCTTCTGTCTATTCAAGACCCCCCGGCGGCAATTCAAATGTTACAGTAATCGAGCCCCAAGAAAATAATCGAGACTTCTTTTTTCCATCATCCCCAAACAGAATCTATTCCAAATAAGGTCATCAAATAAAAATTTGGAAAAAATGATAGAAAATTGTCAAAAATAAAATCACAATTGAAGATTTTGCAACAAAAAAAAGCGATTTTAATTTTTTTTTGAAATTTTTTTTTAAATTTCCATTGTACCATTAAAATCGTATTTTCGCTTTGGGAGCCTCTGGCATTAGAAAAAAATAGAAAAATCAAGCGTGGTGAAATCTCACATATTCTCGATGGACAGCAGAATGTCGTTGGGATTGAGTATCCCGATGAGGTCATCCCTTCTCACGATATCAATGAGAATGAGGCGTCCTTGCGCGGCGCCGCCGTAAATCGAAAACGGCCAGCCGCACGCGTCGCGCGCCGTCGACGTGCCCGAATCGGATTGGCACGACGACGTCGATGAGAACGGCTCGCACGCGATTCGAATCAGACGCTTCGCGGCGAGACCCGTCGCTGAAACTCGTCGGTGAACCAGCAAAAAACAAAAAAAACGTCGATACTCACGCTTCTCGTGATTTCCCGAATCGAGCGATGTGCTCGGACTGCTCGCGCATTCGAGCATCTCCTCGAGTGTCGCCTGCAAAATATCGATTTGAATGGATTTTGGATTTTCTACCAAAAAAAAAATCATTTTTTGAGCATTTAAAAAATAGGGCTTCTTTGAAAAAAAATTGTGAAAAAAATTTCAACCCAAAATTTTTTTGTGAAAAAAAATTTTTGAGAAATATTTTTTCAAATTGTAATATGGTTTTCTGGGAAAATGAGAAAATTTCAAATTTCAAAACAAAAAAATCGATTTTTTTAAATAAATTTTTTTTAAGCATTTAAAAAATAGGGCTTTTTTGAAAAAAAATTTTTTGAAAGAAATTTCAACCCAAAATTTTTTAACAATAAAAATTTGAGAAATATTCATTCAAATTGTGATATGGTTTTCAGGGAAAATGAGAACAATTTCAAATTTCAAAACGAAAAAGGCGAATTTTTTTAATAAAAAATTTTTTTTTGATCAATTATTTGCAAAAAAACATCAATTTTTCGGTGGAATGAGAAAACGCCCAAATTTTCAAATTTTTAAAATTAAAAAAAAATTCGAAAATTATCAATTTCAATAGGGAAAAAAGCACATGTGCGTTGATTTTCCCACGAAAAACCAAAAAAAAAAGTGAGAAAAAAAGACAAAGCAAAGAAGAAGACGAAGGAGAATTGCATTATGCATGAGAGCGGCGCACTCGTTCGTCTTTTGAATTTTCGAACATGAATCATTTGTCAAATTATTCAAAAGCGAGTTCAGAAAACCGGAATACGATTTGAGAGCAACATTTTTCGGTTGATTTTGGTCCCGACGGGATGGAGAATTAATTTTCGCTCAAAATTAACAACAACAACAATTTTTTTCTGTTGAAATTTTGCACAAAAAATTAAAAATAAATACGAACTTTAGTTAAAGTCGAGAAAAAAAATGTATTTTTCATATTAACAAATTCAAGTTTTTGAAAAAATCCATTTTCCGTTCAAATTTGAAAATTTTCAGCCAATCTTTGAAGATCCAAAATAGGAAAATTTGCAGCATTAGAAATAATTTTTTAAAAAGTTGTCTTTTAATTTCTAAAAAAATGACTTCAAAGAAAAAAACAAGACACGAATACAGTGGGAGCCACCCCTATCTTTGGGTGTAACTTTGTCAATTGTAAAAAATTTCAAATTCTGTTTTCAAAATTGAATTCAGGGTTAAAAATTTCATAAGTTTATCAATTTTCATAATGTTATCAGAAAAATTGGCCGAGTGGCATTGAAAACACTGAAAATTGGTCTCTTGCAACCAATCATGTATCAGAAAAAATTTGCTAATTTTTTTTTCAGTTTTCTTTTTAAAATCTGCATAGCCTGGGAAAAAAGATTGGGGAAACATTTAAAAGTACTTAGTGATTCGAAGGGGACCCTTTTTGGTTTGGGACCATCGCCGGAACATTTTGGGACGAGCAGGGTCCAACATTGAACTCGGTCAAAGCAAAAGTCGTCGACGGTTTAGGCCGACACGCTAAATTGAGGGCGATGTGTAATTGGAGCGTCGTACTGTTAGAAAAGTTTTGGGACAAACCGCACAAGTATTCTTAGGAACCCATTTTTTGGTTTGAGGGGGGGGGGTCCTTTTCGAATTGTTGAGCATATTTCGATAAATCAAACAAAAGTCTACATTTTTGTCTATTATTTCAACCCAAAAATTTCAAAAATTGAGAATTCCTGCAAAAAAAATCAAGATCAAAATAGTCAGAAATTTGAATTTGCGAATTTTGTTTCGTTTTAAAAATACGTGTTTTTTTTGAGAATATGTGGGTAGATTTACGAGGTGCTGCTTTCGTAATGGTCTCGCCACGAATGAAAATTTTAGAAACAAAAAGTGTTATTATTCAGAAAAAAAGACCTCCTACAATTTTCGAAAAAAAAGACCCTATACAAATTTTTCCATTGGGTCTATTTTTACAAGAAAATACAAAATACAAATATTCAAACTGAAAATAAATTTTTTCTCTTGAATTTTTGATTTTAACAAGTTCGCATTTTGAAGTATTCTCAAACAAACTTGATTTTTTGGTGCGAAATAATCACTAAATCACATTTTTTCGGTGGAAACTTTGAATTTTAAATCAAGCCGAAAGAAGGAAAAACGAAAATTGCGCGATTTTTGATAAATAAAAAAAAATTGAACTTTTTTTGAGAAAAAAAAATCAAATAAAAAATGTTTGAAAAACTTCGAAATTTGAAGTTTTTTGCCCGAAAAAGGATCCCAAAGTTTCCGATGTTTTAAAAGAAAAATGCAAAACCAAAAGAAAAACCAAGTACCTGAAGCTTCTCGATTTCAAGCGTAAAATCATCCTTGACATCGTCCTTCTCATTTTTGAGCAGCAATTCATTCTTGTCGACTTCCGCCGATTTCGTCGTTTCCTCTTCACTCGTCGTCATCATTCACATTGGTGAATCTTCAGCAACGAAAAAAAAAAAACACGAAGTTGACAAATAAGGATTGACAGAGGCGAGCGGAGGGCGCGAATTGAAAACGAGAAGGCGGCGGGTAGATCAAACTAGAACGTCGAAATTACAAACTCGTCAATCAAATTTTGATGATTTCGCGGCGAACACTTGCTCGAAATCAAATTGTTGTCACAAAAATGAGGGAGAGAGATAATGGGGATGTGAGAGAGCGCAGAGATGAAACATTGCATCCAAATTTCTCGTTTAATAAGTTATTCGGGAAACTTGGCATTTTTTTTTTGCGGGGGAAATCAGTTCAAAATTTCCCCTGAGGGGGGGAAATCAGTTCAAAATTTCCTTGAGGGGGGAAATCGGTTCAAAAATTCCACGGAAAAGTTGTGACAAAAATCAAATGGCAAATTATTTCGGCAACATTGAGGTAGATCAAAACTGATAAATCAATCAATATGCATTTTTGAAAATATTGCAAAACAAAAAAGCAAATATTGTTTTCAAAATGTCCAAATCATAAAAAGCGGCGATTCAAAATGCTAATAAAACGTGTGCTGCCCAAAAATGGTGAGAACAAACCCAAACTGAGACAGTCATCAATGAGTCACACCCATGGCTGGAAGGAAAATGATCGAGCGGACATTTTTTTTTGGTCGACAACTCAGGTAAATGAGAATCAATCGAATTCGAAGAAAATTGACCTGATTCGATTGAAAAATAATTGAGAAAATGGAAAAAAAATTTTTCGAAATCGATTGATTTTTCAAATTTTTTTTGAAATAGATTAATTTATATTCGATTTCGATTGAAAACGAAATTATTTTCGAGTCCCGATTAATTTTGATTTGCCTAAAAATGGAAATTCGAGATTCGAAACCCACGCGTTGCGGTTCGCGTGCGGTCGAGTTGATCCCATGCTGACAAATTTGAAGCGATTTGAAAAAAAACTGATATGACCGAACGCGACGCGAGCCGCAACGCGTCTAGCGACATGGGTCTTGTCGACAAATTGAGATCGGCTGTGGAAAATCAGTCAAACCCCTCAATTTAAATTGGTCTCAACGCGAAAATTAAATTCGAGCTTGATTAAAGGCTCATCGCGATAAGACCTCACCAAAAATATTTCATTGGAATTAAAGGGACAGAAAAAAAAATGAAATTTGAAATTCAAAAGGCGATGATCTACACAAAAGAAGAGCTAAAAATCGTAATTCTGAAAAATAAAAAAAAACTCGAAAATTGAAATTCGATGAATTTTAAAGAATGAAAAAAAATTTTGGCAAAAATTGCAAAAAAAAATTCTGGAAATTCATAAAATTTCAAGCGGATTAATTTTTTTGGCAAAAATTCGAGAAGCTGAAGAAGAAGAAGAAGAAACGTGACAGAATCAAGGAACGGCAATCAATTGGAAGGGAGAAAACGGAAAAAGACAAAATGACACATTGGTTTTGAGGAGGAAGAGTAAAAGGATGGGTGAGGGGGGGGGGCGCTTAAGCCCAACCCCAAAAACCCCCATTATAATAATACTTTTGGAGGAGAGGATTTTCGGCGGCGACGACGACGACAACCAAGTGGGGGGGGAGGCGCCGTTGAACATCTGTCTGACGACGACGGCACATGTGGTTTCATCGGCACATTTTGCATATGTACGACAAACTTCCGAAAAATTGGCGAGCCCCGGGACGAGGGGTGACGACAAGTTGGCCTCTTAATTCCATAAATTTTTTTGAAACATTTTCACACAATAATTACTTTTTTTCTCGATTTTTAGGCCGGAAAATTATTGCCAATTTTGGACTTTGAATTTTTCAAATCCAAAAAAAAATTTTGAAAAATTCTTAGATTTTTGGTTGATTTACAAGCTTCTATAAGATTTTTCACAAAAAAAAATCGAATTTCCAAAATTGGCAGAATAAAAAATTCCATCTGTCAGGTTTTGAGAAATTTAAATTTTTTTCCCAATTGGTCTTATTTGAAAATGTTCGAAATTCTTGATTTTTAATTAAAATCATATTAATTTAATTTATTCCATCGAGAAACATTGATAATAATTCGTTTCAAAAAAAAGTGTGCAACTTTGCGTGTGAGTGTATCACACTTTCGCATTTTTGAATTTTTTTCTTCATCAAATTTTTCAAAAAAATTTCCATAAAAATTGAGAAGTTGCAAAAAAAGAAATGGGATTTTAAATAAAATTATTTAAAATTGAGGGGTTCAGCAAAAAAAAATGCGCGAATTTCCATTTATTTTGGTCCATCATTAAATCGCTCCAATTAGGGCATTCAATTCGCATTCGAAACTTAAAGAGGGCTACCATATAGGAGAAGCTTAGAAAAGAGAAGAGCGGCGACATGAAAAAAAAAGAAATGTAAACACTCGAAAAAGGAAAACGTTTTGTTTTGAATGAGCACAAATCAGAAATGTTTGACGAATATGAAATATTCAAAATTGGGTCTCGCCGCGAATGAATGAAGTCGATGAAGCATGAAGACCTTGACAATTGGCCTAGATCATTCTCGACAAAAACGCAAATGTATTGACATAGAAATGAATGGATTATCACGAGCACACAAATTTCGCGGCGCCGGAGGGGACCATTTTTAGAAGTCGATATAATCAGAAGAAGTGAGATAGGGACCAGCACAAATTTTTTTTGAAACTCCAATTTAAAAATAGGATTTTTTTTAGTTTTTTCAGAGCTATGTCTGCTTTTTCAAATATATTTATAAGCCAAGAAATTTCGTGATTTTTAAATTCTTTGGAATCCCTGGGGCTTCAAATTTTGGGACCTTTCAACAAAATTTTCTTCGAAACATTGAAAAGCCCTACTCAATTTTTTTTAAACACATTCTAAGAATCCATTCGATTTTTTTGAGTTTGAGTTTATGGACCATCACATCTAAAAAAAGTGATCCTAATATTGAATTTTCTAGATATTATCGCAAGTGAATACCGTATACCGACGGACCAAAAAGGTAGGATTACGGTATCTTTAAAAGACAGAGGGCCCGTAATGACAGACATGAGTTGAATGGAATCTGAAACCCGATACGACGTCGGACAAACCGGCGCCATCGTCGACAAACGCATATGATCAAACGAGAGGGGGGGGGGTGATTAGCGAGAAAATCAACAAATCGGAGCCAAGAGCACCGACGGGGCGGCGAGCGGCGAGCGATGCTTCTCGCCGGCCAAATATAGTGATGTTTGTGTGATAGCCGAGTGTGTTGCGAGAGGTGGCGAACGATTTTCGGGGGGGAGTTTTTTGTCGACCGGATTCGCGCACAATTTAGTGCGAAAACTGGGCGAGCGAGCGAGCGAGAGATCGAACGACACCAAGGAGGGCGTTTGAGAGAAGCAGAGAAATGACTCGAACAGATTGGGGCCAATTTCGATTCGACACACGAGAATGAATCGAAGGGGCTTGATGATGGCCGTCGGATGATGATGATGATTCTCGACGCGAGATTCTTCACAATTTCTAACCAGAATCACACTTTTTTTGCAATTTTCACTTTTATTTTTCAAAAATTGATGATTTCTGGATTTCAGGCTTTGTCTTGAAAATTTTTTGAAACCAGAATGTGAATTTTGATCAAATTTAAAAAAAAATGGGCCACCGAAAATCAGGCATTCAAATTTCCACAATTATTCTCAATTTTCATTATAAATTTTTTGAAAAATGCTTCAAGCTGTATCAGCTTTTTCTTAACAACAACTTTGTTTTCCAATTGTGAAAGACATTCAAAAAAAATAATATATATATATAAAAGAGGAATTTCGATTAGTGTAATTGCGCCACTGCGATTTGATAGAATAATTGGAATTGGTGAGCGAAATGGCGGCCAATTAAGCAAATTGAAACATTGCTGCAGAATGTGTCAGTATATATGATCATTATATCTTTGTCCGATCGCCAGATCCTCTCGTCGTCGGAGACGCAGACGCGACGACGACGGCTCGACCCCGCAACAGACCATTTATCTTTTGTCAGACCCCCCCTCCCCTCGGGGGCGCCGTTCGCCTCGTTGATTGCCGTCGTCAATCGGCGAATTTTCGTTGATTTATTTCTTCTTCGCAAAAATTGCCGTTTTTTTCTGAATTTCGTTCGAATGTTCAACTTTTCCATACGAGACCCGATTACATACCAATTAGACAATTTAATTGCGATTCCGACGATTTATTTGACAACGAAAAACCTGAAAACCTCGCGTCCAGACTTCTGATTTGCACGTCGATTTTTCTTCAAGTTTTCTGAAAATTAGCTTAATTCAAATGTGAGCGATACAAATATGGAAAAAAAATGAAAAAAACGCATGGGTGACAAAATAAATTTTTCGAAAAAAATTGTAGGATTCCGCGGGTCCATAAATATTCTCACATTTCACTGTCCCGATTCGTGACATCTGCCAAGGATCAACTCTAATCCGCCGCCGTCGAAATCTGAGACAATCGAATGGCTAATAAATGAGCAAATAAGGAAGTGGTAAAATTGAGCAAATAGGCTCTTCGAAATATTTGCATATTAGTAGGGCAAATGCACAATTTCTCGGTGCGAAATGGTCATAATTTGATAGATTTTTTATTTATCGAGTTGATTTAACGCAAAAATGGTGAAATCTGCAACGAAAATTGAGATGACAAAAAAAAATAAAACAAAAATGGAAGTGCGTTTGAAATAATTCCGCAAACATCGCGTATGGATTGGTGCACACAATGCGCTCCACCTTACGCGCAACGCAGAAATTTGGAAAAATTACGTGTCTCACGTGGCGCAATGTGCCATTAATTTTGTCATTATCGTCGGTTAATGAAATCGCTGAATGCCGGAAGGTGTATCAAAATTGATGAAATCGGTGCGTATTCGGTCAATGTTGTAACGTATGCAATTTTTTGTAAAATTTACTTTTTAAAATATTTTCCAGAAATCAAGTGACGATAGGCTACGATCACATTCCTCGTTTGATTTCGAATGTCGATGACGTCATCGGAATCGATTTGGAAGAAGGAATGGAGGAGTTCAAGGCGAAACACAACGATAAAAACCTGGAAAGCCTTCTGAAATTCATCAAAATGCAATGTAAATTTGGGTCCGATTTAAAGGAGCAGATTCGGGCGGATTTTGTCACGAATCGAGGAACAATAGCGCGATTTTTCACCTCGACGAAAACAAAATTCATTGCGATTCGAAAAAATGGTGTAATTTTTCTGTATAATACCGTCACTTATGGATGCAGCGACTCGGACGTCAAACGGCTAAGGCGCGTGAGAAAGTTTGATTATATCACTTCCGCTGGGGTAATTATCTTAATTAGTTCATCAATTAATTGATTGCCATTCAGAATTTTCGAAATCCCTGCGAGAATTGTGAAGAGGTCCGTGTTGTGTTCCGCGCGACGCTGAAAACTGGCTGGCGGATATACTATAATGCGAAAATCAATGGAATCGACGAAGGTTCAATCAATGTGGTCCGAATTTGATCGAAATTTTGTGAATTCAGATGGAAATTATGTGGCGAAAAAAATTAATAGCAAAGTTCGTCTCGACGATTCGCAAAAATTGTCGCGTCGAAAGAATAGAGAGCACCTCCCGCATTTCTTCTCGAATACAAAAACCATTTTAAGAGGAATTGTTAACAATCAAGGAACACTTGTGAATGTGCGTTTTTAAACATTTTGCATCCAATTCAAATGTTCAGATTGAGCGCGAGGATGTCGATTTCGCGTTGATTGTCGGCCAACTTCCGATTCTCGAGCATTATTTGATGCTGATTCGCTGCCAACTTCGCCACGATGAAATGGCAGTAAACATTTTTCTTCAACCTGATCGAACTCTTTTATTTGAGCCATTGCATGACTGTTCACTTGTGCCAGACGATTTTCTTGATCAATTTTCATAATAAATATTTAAATCTCTTGCCAAAATAATAGGAGAGAACTCCAATTTAACGTCTAAATATAAAAAGGCGAATTTAAAAATTACTGCTTACATTTTTTTCCGTTAGCTCTTTTGTTCGGACCATCTCGACATCCTCTCTCCATTTTTCGAAATTCAAAACTGAATTGCGATTCCACTTCCTCATTGCCAGCAAATTCCTCTGTGAACTCTCACACCTTCCATCAGCTTATTCAGGCGTGCTTGATTCCTTGATCATCTCTGGAGACGTCATCTCCCATTCTCGTTCTCCAAATCCCTAAAACACTGCTCTCCCAATCAAGGAATTTTTCATGGAGCAATAAACGCTAAAATATTTTGAGAAAATCTAGAGTTTATTGATACTTTCTAAAACTTATTGAGAATAGATAAATTTTTAAAAAAAATTTTAAGGTCTTATAAGATTTTCTAAAATTTATTGAGCAAATTCAAAATTATCTCAACAAATTCTAAAATTTTCTAATAATTTCTAAAGTTGATTGAGAAAATTCTAAAATATTATAGAGACACGTTAGTTTCTCAATGAATCTCAAAATATTTTATTCGATTTACCAGAGTTCTTGCTCACGCGACACCTGAAAACCACCTGAATCTTCTCCACTTGAAATTCATGTTTCTATCAAAATCGTTCGAATGTGTTTATTCTGCAAAAAATCAATTTCTATTCGAAAATTCGCAAAATACAAGAAAATGTAGCAAAAACCTTAAAAAATGAAAAATCGAAATTTGAAAGAAAATCTCCCTAAATTGCGGCGAGGATTACGGTAATTTACATTGCGTACAAAACACCGGATCCTACGCCATCTGGATCGCCAACATTTTCCATTTTTTTTCAACAATACCGCTTTTCCAGATTCCAATGAAATATTTTTGAATTATATAAAATTTCAACAAAAAAGAAACATCAAATGTTAATTGAGTTGTTGTTGAGAAGAAATAAAATCCGTAGAGTTCCGGCAAACAGTTCGATCATTCATCGTGACAACATCCATCGAAACGAATCCCATATTATAAACGCCGTTGTCGATCGCCTCGTTCGGAATCGGGTATTCGGCAACGCGCAAACATCCCTGAATCGACTCGACACTCTCGCTTCGAGACCCAAACCAACCTCATGCGTCCAGCACGTATGATAGAATCGAAGGAACGGCGCCGGATCGTCATCGGCACCATTCAGATGCAAATTGAAATTGCCTTCGTCGTCGGTGAACGTGTCATTCGCATATGTGCCATCCTTGTTGAACATCACAATCCGCATCTGCCAGACGCCGCGCGTCGTCCCATCCTTGAGATCAAATGTGCAAATCGCGCGTCCGGTGACGTCGACGGAAAACGGCCGAATCGGCAACGAAGTGCTCGATTCGGGTTCGGTTGTTGAAAACACGACGATCAGCTGGCATAACAAGAGAATCGAATCAATCAAATTCATTTCGAGCTAATCAGTATAAATAATGAAAAAAAAAATCAGAGAATTTTACTCACGTTGACGAGTTCAATATGGAATAAGTCAAAAAATAATGTGCTCGGAGTGCTCAAATCATTTACCCGCCTAATTTTGAAAGTCAGAGCCTCGAATTTCGCGGCAAACTTTCTTCTTGCTTCTGCTGCCTTCTCAGTCTTTTCCATAAGGTCCAACTCTCTTGCCGCCTCTTCGAGAGCGCCCCACAATTTCTTCAACATATCCCGATGATTTTCGTCGTGGATGAACCCCTCGAACGAAATGAAGCGGTTGTCCTCGTTTTTTACCTCCTCGGAGATCTTTTTTGAAGCGAAGTGTTCTCCAAAGACAATATTCATTCCAGTGGAGCCAAAGCTGAAGCAATAGCCTGATTCGTTGGACCCGTGATGACGATCTTGTCGACTTCTTTTGTTTCGAGCCAGAATCACGACCATGGGAACGCTACCATTATACTGATTCCCGTAATGCGTCTGTCCGGTCGAGTGTGATCTCGCCTGACTTCCGATAGTGCTGCGGAAACGCTTGATTCTTTTGTCGTGCCGTCTTCTCGCCGATCAATTGTACACCAATGAATCGATTGCGTGCATTCCGAAATTCGTCATGATCGCTTTCGTGGCATTCAAGCGGATTCGGGCCCACGATTCCAGTCAGGGCTGTGCGGCAATGGAATTGTCGGATTGCCGAAATTTTTATTTTCGGCAATTTGATATCAAAAAAAAAATCGGCGAAACAAAAATCAATGTCCATTGAATAATTTGAGATACCGTGAATATTCGGTATTTATATTTCGAATTATCGTTGAAAACATTTAATTGCCGAAATTTTTATTTTCGGCAACTTGCCGAATTGCCGAACACATCCCTGATTCCAATGCTCTCGGGAGGCTCTCTCATTTTCGCTTCAAGGAAGAAGTTGGCCGAGGCGGCAAAGACCAATGACACTGCTGCTTGCTGGCCGCCACTGTGAAAAAAAAATCGAATTTCAATTTTCGATATTTTGTCTCAAAGAATGACACAAAAAAAGAAGATGTAAAATTTCGAATTGAAGCTGAAAATGGCATTGAATGTTCGCTCTTTTTTTTTTATTTTAAATCATATTATTATACTTTTAAATGATACCCCAATCAAGACGCAAATTTCAGAAAGAAGACTGAAAAAAAATAGTGATTTTTCTGAAGTTTGAAACCGATTCAAACAACGCATTTCAACGAAACTATCGAGTTTGTGCGGTCTCTGTGAACTATTTTAGTTTTGCGTGTAGTCATATCGATAAAGAACGAATTGTTAGCATTAGCATCCAATTGATAACCTCATCGGTGCTCGGCACTCGTCACAATCATTTTCGATTTCTAGTATGCCTGCGACCGTGGATAGTAGCCTCTCATCGAGTTCCGCCGGTGAATTCCCATTGCCATTCAAATGTTTTTATTTATTAATGTTTTTTTTAGAAATTATTGGCATTGAGAAAGATTTGAAGACACTTTTTAAGCTCAAAAACAAACTCGAGCGAATTGCGAAGGAGAACAAAGATGTCGTCAATAGCGGCCTGATGGGCATTCTCATATCGAACCCACAATTGATTGAGCAAACAATCGAGCAACCGGTTGGTTGTCGAAAACATTTGAACGAATTCATATGATTGATTTTAGCTGAAATCGCAAATCGATGAATGCCAGAAGTTGAGCAAGACGATCAAGGAGCTCGAAAATCAAATTCACGAAGTTCTAGCGGCTCATATGATTTTTAGGGACCATCGATTTTTAGGCGAATCAACGAAGAAGTGAACTCGGCGCGCATATTGAAGAATTGAAGAAGAAAATCAAAGAAATGATTGAACAATATAAGAAAACGTTGAAGAAATTTGAAACCGATTATGATATTGAGGTAGCTTCTTTTTTTTTGATGTATCTCCTATTAAATTTGATAATCGTTTCAGCAAAAGCAGCTCGATGAGCTCTTGCATGCCTCGCAACTCAAATCGTATCAATTCGAGCCAAAATACGACTTTGATTTTACGCATATCAATGTTTTTTTCTCTAGATTTCAGATCTTGAAAATGATTTACTTTCAGGACACAGGAAATACATTTTTACGCGGTGGATTGCCGTATACTAGACCGGTTGGATCGAAACGATTCGCAATTACGGTAGGCGCATTTTTTGGGCAGCATTTTTAATTTTCCTGGCGCTAATTTAACGCCATTTTGTTCAAAAAACATTAATAATGTTAATGAAATGAAATTGAATTTGGTTTTGTGTTGGAAGGAACGACGAATTTTGAATTGCCGGCCACGGCCACTAATAATTCGGCCAGCCTCCTCCTAAACGCATATTTTTCAAGGTGCTCGGAAAATATGGAAATAATCATTGGATTGAGTGCTCCGGAAAAACTGGAAACGGTGAATGGCCGGTGGCTTTTCACGGAACGCAAGAAGCAACCAGCATTGATTTCGCGAAAAATGGTTTTGACGTCGAGAAATGCAAAAAAGTTGAAGCGAATAAGGCGCTTTTATGCACTCCTGATCCAAATACGGCTCGAAAATATGGTCGGTTATATATTAAAGACGTAAGAATTGCCACAATTATCAATCAATAATTGGCCAATTCATTTTCAGGGTGTCACTTATAACATGATATTCCAAATGCGCGTGGATCCCTCGAAAATTGACGTCGTTCGAAAAGCCGATTCAACAATGGGCGAGTTTTGGACGGTGCCGAGAGGGGCCTCAGTTCGACCATACGGCCTTTGCTGCTATCCAGCGAATTCGAATGAATAAACACGTCCCAATTTTAATTTTGATTCTTCTTTTTTTAAATAGTAATGATACATTATTATAAATATAGGGGTTGCATCACAAATTATGTTCTAATATGGTCCCATGAGGACAATCTTTAGAGTTGGAGACCTACTGGATCACATATCCTCAGATTTCGATCCGGACTGGAAGACGGCCATTCAGCAGCAGTGAGGAATCCAAGACACACCGCTGTTGAGTAATTTTGGCTCCAGTGGTTGTTATCGTAGTAGATTTGGCAGCCAGCGAAGAAGTACTTCAGTCTCCGAAACGTTCTTCACCTAGTATTTTTTATTGGACAGCCGTCTCGACAGGATTCTCAAAATGTGGAAAGTGGGGGCCTGCGCTTTATAGGGGGACGTCCAGAGCCGGTCCTGCTTTTTGAATCTTTAGAAAAGCAATTTCAATGCAAGCATGTGAAGGTCGACATTTTCCGGGATACGGGGGTCCTATAAGGATCACGGTTTGGGAAAAATGTCTTATAAGGATCACAGTGTCCGGGATACGGGGGTCCTATAAGGATCACCGTGTCCGGGATATGGGGCTCCTATATGGATCACGGTTTGGGAATAATGTCTTATAAGGATCACCGTGTCCGGGATATGGGGGTCCTATAAGGATCACGGTTTGGGAAAAATGTCTTATAAGGATCACCGTGTCCGGGATAGGGTCCTATTAGGATCACAGTGCGCCGGCTGTTCATTTTTTTGTTGAAAAACACTGGGTTGATATGCAGCCCGAATGGAAGTCCCAATTTTGTGTTTCTCGAGCAATTCACAATTCCAAGAGCAGGTTCATTATTTCATTTCAGGTCAAAGTTTCATTTGGATCAATTCGAGCACTCTTTTCGCAACCAAAATTCAGATAAATCATTTTGAAAACTGAAATATTACATAGAATATAGGTGATTTCGACAGCAAATAATGTCGATATCGCATCTGGAACAAGCGTATAAATTAGTTCCTGAAAAAAGGAAACGCTGAAATGCGTTTTTTTTTTCTTGAATTGCAAAAAAAAAATACCCTGATGTAATCGATAACATTATCGCCGAAAAATGTTATGATAATGCAATGAGATAATTGTGGCATGCAAATCTTGAAGGCAATTAAATCGTTAATTACCATAATTAGCGTACCAATTTAGAAATGATTGTCAGAATTGTTTGATAAATTATGAAATTCTCCGGTTTACTTCGACGAGACGACATTTGACGAGCTAGCATTTTTAAGCTCAAAAATATTGAAACATAGAATATTGGGGTTAGCAAAATTGACAAAATTGAGGAAATGTACACCACTAGGAACAGTATGTCGCCCATGTTTGCCGCATGCGAATTGTTTTGTAATCTACTGACTAAAAATAGGAAATTTGCTCTGCGAAAAATTACGATAATGCAAAATTGAAGTTAGCCTCACAACCTGCGACCCTCTCCCCCGTCTTCATTCATTTCCTCGTGCTTGAACCAAATAAAATAGGTATTGTTGAAAAATGACAAATGTATCCAGGTGTCGTAGGATCCTGCGTTTTGTACGCAATGCTAAGAGACAGTTACTCTCGCAGAGATTTACGGAGTTTTTTTTTATTTCGCATATTCATTTTTTTATTTCTCGCTCAATTTTCGTAATTTCCTTTGAAATTTTGTTATTTAAACTTTTTAATTTTGCAGAAACCGAGTTTAATAATGTATTTAGCAGAATAAGCGCTTTTAAACGATATTTTATTTGGTAAAAACAGCAGAGATTAAAAAGAAATCATTTTTGTCGTTAACAAAATTATTTAATCGTGTTTTGCTTTTTGTACGCGTTTCTATTATCGTGTTTTTGTATTCTTCATTTTCAAAATAATTTTTAGAGCGTCAAAATCTTCACAATAATTCCCAACTCAACTGGACTTCCATTTGTCGTGCATATTCTGAAAAATAAATAATTAAACTCGGTTTTTACAGGTTTTAAATAAAATATTTCCAAAGAAAATAAGAATTTTAAGCAAAAAAATTGAAAAATAATTTAAAAAAAAAACTCCGTAAATCGCTGCGACGATTACGGTAACTGTCTCTTAGCATTGCGTACAAAACCAGGATCCCACGACACCTGGATACATTTGTCATTTCTCAACAATAATGGATGCATTCAGACATTGCTAATTGTGGAAAATCCCACAAAATACCATATTTTCATAATTATTATGCCTGCGTCTCCGCCAACAGCACGCACTCTCTCTCTCCCTCTCGTTGTCTGCGCGCTCTCTCTATTGTACACACTATCTCACTTACTAGAAAACTTTAAGGCCGCGCATTTTGTGTTGATTGTTTTTTTTTCCTTTTCTATAAGTTCAAATAGACTCTAATTACTCAACTAAGTGTTCTCACGGACCACGCCACCAGTCGCTATCTGCCAGCATCACAACTTAAGCAATATTGACAAATTTGCAATATGCAGTGCTGTCGTTTTTTTTCGAAAAAAAAAACAGCGACAGCCGGGGTACTGTAAATCGCGGGACGATATTTTTAAAAATATAACACATGATCCTTTAACTTCGATTACTTTCATAATTTTTTTGGATTTAAATTTTCGCGATTTTCTTGAATAATTTTTAGTTTCTTGATAAGTGTGAACAACATATGGTTTTCGTCCATTCTTTTCCAAAACTGCGCAGATTTCAAACGAATTTTTTAAATAAATTTATAGTCCATTTATAGTTCGATTTTTACGTCATTGCTAAATTCAAGTCGAAGGAAGAACATCCTGGAAGAGAAAAAAAAACAAATTTGATTATACTAGACGACAATTATTTTTAAGTATACATTTTTTTAATAAAAAAAATTTGTTAAAGCTGAACATCAAAAACGATAAAGGATATCGTTTAAGTGCTGATTTTTTGTCATCAGCATCAAACTACTGGTCTTGAAGAAAGCTTCCTTACCTCAATAGATGAATCGTCTTATTTTCACAAAAACTCGAAGCTGTGTTGCTTGACGACCGCACTTGTTTTGGGTTTTGTGGAAAAACATAACCATTGCTACAAAATCGATCTGAAATATTAATTTATTTTCTAAAATTCTACAAAAATTCGTTTGAAATCTACGCAGTTTTGGATTAGAAAGTACATGAAAACGATATCAAGAAACTAAAAATTATTCAAGAAAAAATCGCGAAAATTTAAATCCAAAAAAATTATGAAAGTAATCGATATTAAAGGAACATGTGCAATGTTTTTTTTAAATCTCGTCCCGCGATCTACAGTACCCCGGCTGTCGCTGCTTTTCAATGGCTAAATAGATCCATAGAATAACAATAAGTTCAGTGATTTCGTTTTGAGACCAATACCTCACTTCTTTCAATGTGCCTTTAAACGAAACTTACGCGAAGTAAATAAATAAAAAATGAGTAGAGAAATTAATAATCGATTCATAAAGCGATTAACATTCTTTCTGAACAATCGTTTTTTTTTTTCACTTGGTTTTTTAGCATCGCCAAAAAAAAAACGAATGCCATGAACCATTTTTCGGGTACCGTACTACGGATAACCTGCGAATCAAACTCGCAAATATTTTATAAAATACAGTAACGATGGTACTCGTTTTTGTTTTTCTGGCGATATCATTATTTGTGGCAACTTACGCGCTAAACGTGAACAATTTTTCTTTGTCGATGAAAAAATAGAGCAAAAGACGCTGAAGTGCCAATAGGAATACGCAGAAATTGAGAAGAATTGTGAACGGCGGCGACAAAAACATGATGATAGCAGACAAGGCGTACAAAATAATTTTGACCATTGTGAATTCTGGACTCGCCAATTTCAAATACATGATTAAGACGGCGACGGTAAAAACGGACACGTGGAACATTACGATGAGTTTGTGGAAAAACGCGAGAAGCGGCTCGATTGCGCTCTGTAATTTGAGTGATTTGTTTTATTTTTTTTTTTGAGAGTCTCATCGTTCTCCCGGCGCTGACATACGGATCAAAGACTTGGACCTTCACCAAAGCTCCTGCCGAAAGAGTTAGTCACGCTGGGCTTGAGCGAAGACATATCTTGGACGTCCGCATCAAGTTCGGGACCCCCTACATCACATCACGAAGGACGCGTTGCTAGAAGAAAAGATGGAACATGGACTATTCTTCTAACGGCGCGGCGACCGTGGAATTGGACGCGGCCAAGAGGAAGGCCTCCTATCGGAAGGAGATCACCACAAGGTCCACTAAAGCCAAGGACTGAAAAGTTTGGAATGCTGACAACAGGCAAAGAACGAACCCATTAGGTGACTAAGTAAGAAGATTTAAGTTTCTCAGTCGTCTCCCATGGATGGATTGGACTCATATTTCAAACACAAGTAAATATAAGTGGAAGCCATACTTGCAAAATTCCGGGTCGACCCGCCCCGCTCCGCCGACCCGCAACGTCACTCCAAGTTTACAGCGAGGCCTTTGTTTAACGTTATAGGAATTTCGAATTGAATTATTTTGAGTAGAATTTTTTCACCCTGGCCCGCCCCGACCCGCCCGGTTGCAAGAATGGTGGAAGCAAGTAAAGTGACGAGGCAAAATTAAAAGCCCGTAAATCGACACAAACCTTTGTCGTCGTGCTATGCTGGTTTGTCCAATAAATCAAAAAATATAGCGGTAAAAATATTAATGAGAGTATTTGAATTGACAAGCTGCTTTTTCGAGTGAACTCAATGACGAAATTATTCGATGAATTCGGTAGAAGTTCCATAACAATGAAATGGTTACTATGAAATGGAAATACGCAGATATTATGCCAAAAACGGATAGTTTGATTTCACAATTATCCAGTATTTCAGCTGCTTTTCAATGACGTCATTGAAGAATTTAAATGTCTTTATAAAATGGACGGAAAGCTCATAGAAGAACAATCCGATCGAAATGTTTTCTATGTTATAAGAAAAAAAATAGCAACTAGATAATGGATCTATTCAGACATTATTAATTGAATAATTTTGACAAATTTTTGCATTATGCATCGCTGTCGTTTTTGTCGAAAAAAAGCAGCGACAGCCGGGGTACTGTAGATCGCGGGACGACATTTTTAAAAATATAGCACATGATCCTTTAATATCGACTACTTTCATAATTTTTTTGGATTTAAATTTTCGCGATTTTTTCTTGAATAATTTTTAGTTTTTTGATATCGTTTTCGTGTACTTTCTAATCCAAAACTGGGCAGATTTCAAACGAATTTTTGTAGAATTTTAGAAAATAAATTAATATTTCAGATCGATTTTGTAGCAATGGTTATGTTTTTCCACAAAAACCAAAACAAGTGCGGTCGTCAAGCAACACAGCTTCGAGTTTTTGTGAAAAGAAGACGATTCACCTATTGAGGTAGAGAAGCAGAAGTAATCTAGAATAAATTTTGGCACTGAAATTTGACATTATGATCAATGTTAAAATTGTTATTCGACCAAGAATGCGCAATTTTTTAATTACAACCTTGACTAATTAATCCAGATCAAAGTGCAAACTAAGCAAACAAATTAAAATAGAAAAATATTCTCTCAAAGAATACGCTCATAAAAATTACGAAATAACGGCGAAATGAAACATGGCCGAATAATTTGCGGCCACACGATAATTCGGCCACCTGAATTAAATCCTTATTTATAACAAAACATTTATCTGTCCATAATTCAAAATTTAAATTGAACTGAAAATAATTATTATTCTCTGCAAAAATTCAGTTAAATTTCAGTTTCATATTGCATTATGCGCATTCGAGCTTCTCTTCAAGTGTCATTATATCCAAGCTTATATAACTCATATCGTATTCCCTTCCATTAATCGATTCTGCTGGAATCGGATACTTGCCGATCCGCTCACAACCCTATTAGCATTATCGATTCATGCGATGAAAATGAGTCATACTGGCTGAGCGTTGCAATTATGCCTAATGGTTATGAATGGGTCAATGGCGCCTATCTAAACCGGAACAATGTCGGCAGCAATGCTATTGCAAGTTGGTGTACCTCATCCTCCTCGCCGGCAATCTCGAAATCGCCCTCTCGATTCGAATAGCATTTGTCGAGCACATCATTCGAGTCCACTGAATCTCATGTCAATTCGGTCGCGCTTCGGCACTCACATCGATCCTTCTCGACGAGCACAATTTGAGCATCGGCGTACCGTCGTTTTTGACAAATCACCGTTCCTTTGACTTTGACCTTTTGCACAGCGCCCATAATTACAGAAATGAAAAACGCGAGGTGAATTGGTGAAAATTTCATTTTAAAAAATGAGACACAGCGATGAGCATTTAGCCGCATTTGGTTTTTTCGCCGTGAACAATGATGTCAAGTGTCACGTAGGTCATATCATAGACGCTGTTGATTTTGTCCTGCGGCACAGTGTAGTCGGAGACTCGCTCGCATCCCTACAATCATGTTTCGGTATGGGTGAAACTAGAAATTGCAGTGAGAAGAACGACTCACCGGTTCGGCATTGCATGAATGATGAATGCGAATGAACGGCTCGATTTTGCCGACCTCGTCCTCTTGTCCGAACAACTCGAACTCGCCTTCCTTGTTGGTGTGAATCGTTGAGAGCAAATCATTGGGATCGACTAGAAAAAAAAATTGAACGCGCTTCGTAGGTGTTGGCGAATCTCATGACTCACGCGTGTCTTTGTCGTAGAGTTCGACTTTGGCGTTGGCGAAACGCCGCTTATTGCACACGGCGATTCCGCGAACCGTCACGTTTTGCATTTTCGCGGCGGCGACGTCGACGAGCACGACGCCAAGAATGGCGAGCGCCAAAAACGATTTCATCTGCAAACTGGAATTGGAATTGTTCAACGGATAATTGATGCAATTGATCCGGGCCAAGAGTTCTTTTATACTTTTGAGAGACGGGATCACATGTTTGTTTGTTGGTGTGTCGATTCGCGACTCCGCCCACTAAATAATGTCATCAGTGTTCTCGAAGAATGCCTCGTGTTGAGAAATGGCATCATGAATCATTATCGCGTTTTGGAGCCCGTGAATCGAGACTCGCATCAAGAGTATTGAATCAGGATTTGACTTGTTGTACTGTTCGTGACAGGACCACTTATAGCAATCCCTTCTAGAAATTTCATCCCAAATGCTACAGTAATCAAGAGCTGATCATCAACACATGTGTTGTCGGAGAATTTTGCGTGGTATCAATGTTGTGTAACACATATTGTGCAATTTATTTTTGTTTGGCGGAACCGATTCGACGCCGCCGCCGCCGCTGCAAACAACTGCTCGAGTGGAATGAATTAATGACTGAAACATCCATCAAATGTTCTCGAATGTCACATGCACTACGAGTCGAAGGGCTCGTCGAGAAACAGCGCGTCGGGATCGAATAATCCGTGCCGAGGCATTTCGCCACTGACAATCATCGAGATCGCACCAAAACCGGGTAGCTTTGAGACGAGAAGGAGATGAAAAAAATTTGAAAACGCCGTGTACACACGCACACGCCAAATTGCACACACTTGAGTTTTTTTCTTTTCAAACTTTTACCCAACCAAAAATATAATTGAACCTAGCAATTTTCAATCTGACATTTGATGATTTGTGGAAAAAAATTTTAAAGGCGCACATAGCTGGAAAAAAATGAATGGTTGGAATTGTGTGCCAAAAACGAAAACGAGACTCGCCACAATGACGTGACCGCGCCAATCGAAACGACGCGAATCGGCATTTCATCGAACAAGGCCGGGAAAAGAATAGAACATGAAAAGAAGCATATTGTTGATCGTATTCCTATTAGAGCTCAATGTTTCTGTCTTTGAAGCCCGCATATTGAAAGGTTATGAAGACAATCAAGGACACTACTACTTCGACGGCCACGCGAATGGATCTGATTTTATGTATTTGAAAGTGTGGAGCTTAAAGGGAGGTGGGTTTCATAGTCATCCATCTACTTTCTCATTTTTGAACGCGGTCTTCATAGATGTCATTTGCGAGTATCATCTGCGAGTCAAATCGCACTTGATGCCGAGAATTTCATTACCGGAAGAGCATGAGTTTATGCCTTGCCCGTATTGGTGCGGCGTTCAACTTGTGTTCGACGGAATCGGAAACCCGGTGATGAAGGAGCCGGCCTGGACGCCGACGATGATACAGAAAATTATTGGAGATCTTAAAGGCATCTATTCCGCCGATGTGGTCATCACAAATTCGAACATCAAAGAAATCAATTTTTCGAAATTCGAGCTGATCACATTCGGCTATTGGCATTTCGAGAATCTGACGGAACTCGAGGTTGTTAACTTCCCTGATGATATCGATGTTAGATATTCGATGAGTGAGTTGGTCTTTGATTTCCTTTTCTGATTTCATCTAGAAAAAATTTTTATTAATTCAATTTTTAATTATTTAAAAAAAACGCCTAGCCATTGAGTGAATTTTCTCTCACAAAAAAAACTAATAATGGTGGACGTGAAATATGACATGGCCGAAGAATTGGCGGCCGCGGCGGAGTGGAAGCCTTGTTCATTCAACAGTTATTGATTTTTTCAGAAGTTCATACGAAAAACGTGCCAAAGTTAAATGCCGACTCGAGGCGCCGTCTTTACTCATTATGCATGTGGGATTGCGACATCGAGCCGGGTACGATATCGAGAGTGAATTTGGCGTGGGCCAACTAGTGTTGAATTTCAGCTGCCAACGAGCCGCCGGCAACGAAACCCGCTCCACCACCGCGAAGTCCCATCCACGATTTTTATTATTATGATTATGTCGAGAAAAAATTCCCACCTGTATACGATTGATGAAGAAAGAAATCAAGAGATTACAATTTGATAAAGAGATTCTATTCTCGAGTCCATCTGCTTGACAATACATACAAATGACCGGGGGGGGGGAATCAGTGAAAAATAATTTTTTACTTCGAAATTCGCAAAATTCTCCTAAACCTCAGAAAAACTATCAAAAATATTACAAAAACGAAATTTTCGCGAAAACTCAAAAAAAATCTCTAAAAATGGCTGCTCAGAGCGCAGGAAAAACTCCAAAAAATTCTCGGCCACGGCCACGGCCACGTTTTCGGAACCCCACCGTTTTTTTTTTAAATCGCTATAAAAATCTTGAAATTTTATCGTAGAGCGCCTTTAACCGCAAGCGATTTCATTTTTTGAATCCAAGTTTTTTTTTTCCGATTACGATTGCTATGTTTCTGGTGTGATTAAAGGCGCGTATAAAATTTTAATGATTCTCGCAGCGATTTATACTTGGCGACTGCTGCACATGGGTAGATTTACGTGTGCGTCTTTCGAAATGGTCTCGCGTGGACTGCCTTGTTATTTTGCTTTTTTAAGAGTCGGATCGACAATCGTTAATTTGAATGACGATCGAAATTCAAGAAAGCAGCATAATCATCAAAAAAATTTAAGGTCATGGAGGCTTCAAAGTCGTGGACGTGGCCGAGTTTTGTCGAGTGCGCACCGAGACCTCTTTTTAAATTTTTTTAATTTAGCCAATTTTCCGCCTACATTTTTTCAATGCAGGGTAAATAATGCAAATAAAATTTAATTTTACTTTAGAATTTGTCTTTAATATATTTTAGGAATAAATAAAAAATAAATTATTAAACTTTATAATTTCTTATAACATTTTCGTGTTGGTTAATACGTTTTTGAAAATATTGAAATATTTAGATCGTTTGTCTGAAAGGAATACCATCGGTGGAATGATCCGGGATATCAGTTCCCTCTTCAATCGATTAGTTCAAGAAGCGGGACCACCTCGAGCTTCGAGGCTTGACATCTCTGCATTAGTTTATGTTTTATTGAGCTTTTTCAATCGATGTGACTCATCCGAATTGAATTTCCTGATTGATACGTGCCAAAGTACGCGCCATTGACGCGGGCATGTGTTGACGACGACGAATGCTGCGATGGCGATAGAGAGAGAGAGGAAGGGAGAGCGTGTTCCATGATGAATTGCTCTATTTTTGAGGCGCCCCGCGCGCCGTAGAAACAGTTGTCGTTGGCGTCGGAGCCAACACCCTATAAATTGGCGACGCCCGGTTTGAGGCGACGAATCTCAGCTCAGTCGGAAGATATGCGTTCGCTCATCGTGTGTCTCGTGCTTGCCGCCGTCGCCGTCGACTTGGCCGCCGCCAAGATGCAGAATGTCACCGTCAAGGGTGTCGCCGTCTGCAACAAGAAGCGATCGCCAAGTGTGCTCGTCGAGCTCTGGGATCGCGATACCCGTAAGTTGAAACGAATTCATCAACGTCATATCAACGCGTTTCAGTCGACCCTAATGACTTGCTCAACAGCGTCAACACCAACAGCGAGGGCGAGTTCGAGCTCTTCGGACAGGAGGACGAGGTGACCAGCATCGAGCCGTTCATTCGCATCACCCACAACTGCAATCCATCGAAGCCAGTGAGTTGCTCGAGCCTCCACCACCCCATCATTATTCGCTAATTGTAGAACTGCGTCAGAATCGGTGAGTACGAGGTGCCAAAGTCGAAGATCGGAGGACTCTATGATATGACCTACGTGACCCTCGACATCAAGGTTCACGGAGAGAAGGAAAAGTGCAAGTAGATCAAATAATTTTCTTTCGATTAACATTTTTCCCCCCAAACTATCGAATAAATTTCTTTTATTTCACAATCAAGACTGCTAATTGTTACAAACATGATTGATTGGCGTCGAACGGCTGAGGAGAAGCATTTGCTCTCACGAAATCAGTGTGGATTTACGAAAAGGTAAAACAATTCCAATTGAATGTGTATTGAATGTACGGAATCATTTGGCAAATTGCCAGTAAATATTGTCGGAGTCAAACGAGTGGAAGAAATTTAAAAAAATTATTGGCGATGTGAAAATGGGTGTCGAGGCAGTACGCAAAACTGCGTACATTGCATTATAGCGTACGAGCATTTAATATTCAGTTACATTGGCTTCACAAGAGACACAATTTGTTGATTTGAAAAAAATGTTTTCGAAAAATCGCGCTTAAAAAGTGAGGATCCATAGAGTTTAGAATGTTGTTTCTTTGGCCTTCAATTGAGTCATGTTGTTGTGGTTGGCAATCAAGCGATTCGACCTCCGCCGATTCGATGTGGTAAATTAGAAATTCGAATTATTAGAGAGAAAACCAAGGTGTGTTTTTAATAGACCGATTTGATGAAAAAAATTTTTTCATTATTCCGCATGCGGATTTCAACACATTAGCGATAAGATTAAGAATATTCATTGAATTCTTTTTTTTTGAAGCAGTCTTGACGAATGGCATTTTTTTTGAAGATTAGCCCGATGTTTCAATGTTTCAGATAATTGTTGAATTTTTCGATAATCCATTTTGTTCGGAAGATTTCATAGAATTAAATACTTTCATATTATTCTGACTGCGTCTCCTACTAGAAATTGTATAATAATAAGCTACCAACAACCTGACCGCCGAATTTCTGCAAAATTCGAAAGAAACATAAATTTAGAAAAGAAAATCCTTCTAACACAATGCAAAACGCGATTAATCGCAGAAAGAAATTTATTCGTCTGCAAAAATGTGGGGGAATGTGCAAAAATCAAGGAAAAATCAAATAATTTAAAAAGAAAATGAAAAATGAAACTCGTAGTTCGCTGAAAAAAAAGCAGTACGGTAGATTTGTGCGTTTAAAGATGCATATTTACAATTTAATGGTTCACATATAGCAGAGGGCGAGAATTAAGGAAGCGATTATTCCGAACGAAATGATGCACACGATAGTCCATAGGAGTTGAGCACGACCGGCGAAATCTCACCTGGAATGCATTGGATACTGAAAATTCGGCTGAAACATGTCCGGTTGAGGCCATTCGCGAGAAGCAAAATCATTTGTCCGAAAACAAAAAAAATTAAATATTTTTCGTATTTGTTTATTTTGTTTTTTTTCAATGGAACTGAAAAGATATTAGTTTTAATTTTCAACCATATATTAAATTATGTATGAGATTTCAATCAATCCAATTAATAAATATTTTTAGAAGAATGGACGATTCTCGCAAAAATGAAGCAATAAAAGACGAAATTGCAAATGTTTCGAAGACCACAAAAGAATTTTTGAAAAGTGAACGAATTCACACTGGTGTGAATTCATCATGTAAATGAAGAAAAAGTGAAATTGAAACGAATTACAAAGAAAAATATCCCCGTTTTTTAGAAAAAATCCGTGGAGATCGCTTGTCCGTGGAGACAAGCGCACTTTCCTTGTTTGGCTCGAACTAAAACATAACAATTAAACCAATTATTTAACTAAAAATAAAACAACTTACTTCGTCATCTATAATTCCCGAGAACGCAAAGATAACTTCAGAACTGATGATCTGAGTGTCTGGATGATGGTCCGCGATTTCTCCAACCGGCATATTCTTCCAATCGCAGAAAGAGAAACACTTCTTGCCAACAGATATTCCAAGGAAGAGTCCAGAAGAGTCAAAAATGCCCGATCCCGAGTCTCCCACTTGTCCATGTGACGTTCCGACGTAAAAACCCCCTGAATCAAAAATTAACATTTGTAAAGTGAAGAAATTAGACATACTTTTCTCATGCGAAATGATCCCATGCTTCCAATTCGGCTCTCGGCGTGAGTCCACTCCCAGTTGCAGATATTCCCTTCCGCGGAAGAGCCTTCCCACACCTATTTTATTTTTATAAAAATTTTGTTAACCTATTGTTCATTATTTATTCTACAGCGCAAAAATTCGGAAAATCATCTAGTCATATATAGGTATAAACTTAATTTAAAAGCTAAAGGAGCTAAAAATGAGAAAAAAGTGATAGATAGAAAAACAGTACCGCGGGGAAAGCTCTCGAATTTGTCTTTCTTCAGCTTGAATACAATGATGTCGTAACTTTCCGACACTGCCGCTACCGTCGACTGAAAAGCTTAAATTCAGCAACTAATTCACATCATTGTTAGGTAGAAGAGATCTTCTTGATAGAACCCATTTTAATTTGTGAGTCTTGCACACTATTTTTATTAAAAAGATTTCCTATAAGAACAATATTTTCGTCACCAGATGGTACAGAAAACCTTCTTACAAAAACATTCTCTTTCGGTTTGATTCCAACAATTCTTATCAACAAAAAAGAAATACGGTCATTTCTACCCTAAAAACTGCCGAAAAACTTTCTTCTCCGGAATACAAAACCTCAAAAAATTTGGCTAAAGAAGTTTTGGCCTCTAATGGTTAAAGCATTAGAAATAGATTTAGACCTAAAAGGCATAACTTTCCACAGCCAGAAAAAATCGTAAAAAATATATTTCCGGTTCCGTTCATCTCCGATACCACTACGAAAATAATCAAGACATCAGTTAGACAAGTTGACTTGGATGTCACTGTAGTAGAACTTAAAGGTAAATCACTTAGGGACATCCTTATCAAAAATCGTATTTTTGATGTTCGATGTGAGGGTAGAGGGTGCAAGGTTTGCCCGGAGCTGGGAGTTGGTACTTGTACCATTAAAGGAGTCATTTATAAAATCAAATGTGGTTGTGGAAAGAGTTACGTCGGCGAAACAGGTAGGCCTTTGGCCTCTCGTTTCAACGAACATGCTAGAGCTACTTTGAAACCAAATCTAAAATCATACAAAAAAACGGTTTGGTCTAAACACTCATTTGAAATTCATAACGGGGAGCCATTTCAACTTTCTATTAAAATACTAGATATTGAGAGGAACACAACTAGAATACTGGAAGGAATTTATATAAAAACTAAGAATCTTTTCTAAACCTAACTCCTATTTATCTAAACATTTTGATCTACTTACATCCTCACATTAACGCTACTAACATATTTATTGTGTTACGGATTGGACATTGTTTTGTTTCTTGAGTTGTTTTTATGGTTTTTTTTTTGTTTTTTGATTGATACTTACAACTTAACTCTCTCCGTTTTTTCCCTTTTTTGACCCATCTATTACTTATTATCTTGTAGGTAAATTGACCTTTCCTGATGACGATCTAAAGATGGAAACGTCGGATAAAAACATTAAAATAGTGTGCAAGACTCACAAATTAAAAAAGGGTCCTATCAAGAAGATCTCTTCTACCTAACAATAATCCACACGATGCACTCAAAACAAGTCACTCCACAACTAACAAAACTAGTTCACATCATTGAAAAAAAAAACCTCGTATCGTATCACAGGATTCAAGACGTTGTACAGCATCACCGTCTCATTCATTTGCAGCCTAGAATGCTGCCCATGGCGGAACGACGCCGCGTGTGTGTCATCGATCGCCACGACGCATCGATGCACATTCTCATCCGGTTTCGACGAAGTAAAAAGCATTTTCTCAAGCATCAACGCACTCTGCTCCTCCATTTACCTGAATGGGCATTTATTAGTAAATTATAAGGATTATTATAAGCACATGTATTATTCAACTTATAAGAAAAATGATTAGAGTTTTACATAATAGAGAAAGAAAGAACACAGGTAAATGAAAACCAATCGGATTCGAAAATAATTTCGTTTTCAATCTAAATTGAATGTAAGTGAATCTGTTTCGAATTATTCCAAAATTTCAATCGAATACGATTTCAAAATTGAGAATGAGAAATAAATCAATCGATTTCGAAGATGTTTGAATAAAAAAAACCAACATTTCAAAACGAATTTAAGCGTTTTCTTAATCAAATTTGAATTATTTTTCAATCGAAACAGATTAATAATTTATATTTAACTTTTTTTGGGAAATCACGAAATCAATGTGAACTACAGAAGAAAATGAACTCTGGATCTTGAATCTCTATCGGTGAATCTCTTCGAACAGTCAAAGATGTGTTCATTGACCTGATATTTTATTATGTTTAACGAGAAGAACATTTAACAAACTACTAAAGGTGAGTAAGGAACAACTAAATGTGAATAATTAATTTTTGTAAAGATTTTCTCAGGTAAATCGAATAAAATATTTTGAGATTCATTGAGAAACTAACGTGTCTCTATAATATTTTAGAATTTTCTCAATCAACTTTAGAAATTATTATAAGATTTTAGAATTTATTGAGATAATTTTGAATTTGCTCAATAAATTTTCAGAAAAAACTTATAAGATTTTAAAAACTATTTTTAAGTTTATCGATTCTCAATAAGTTTTAGAAAGTATCAAGAAAATTTAGATTTTCTCAAAATATTTTAGAGTTTATTATTGAATATTTGATTCTCAAAATATTTTATTTGATTTGCCTGAGTTGTGTCTTCAGAATAACAATAAAGAAGAGCTATCTAAAGAACTAGAGTAACGTAGAGATAATGTCGAAATGAGAGTGGGCGAGAAGATGAGGTGGTGGACGAGAGAGAGTGCAAAACGAAGAGACGCACGCCATCATGTCCACGGCGTTCAAACCAGGGCTGTGCGGCAATCGGAAATTTCGGCAATTCGGCAATTCGGCAAATTGCCGAAAATCAAAATTTCGGCAATTCGGCAATTCGGCAATTTGCCGATCGAACGTTCTCTTCGGCAATTCGGCAATTCGGCAATTTGAAAAATCGGAAATTTCGGCAATTCGGCAATCGGCAATTCCATTGCCGCACAGCCCTGGTTCACACTAGTGGGATTTACATGAAAAAAAAGATTTTTCTCAATAGAGCGCACTTGCAGCTTAGCGATATTCCGGTGCATAAATTCAACAAATTAAATTTGTGAAATAAATTAGAAACATTCTCAAAATGGAGCGTTTTTTCAATAAGAACGATTAGTTTTAATATTTCTTCCGGTGGATCAGATTCACCGCAATTTATGGTCTATTTAGTTATAAATTAAATAAGTTATTTTAATTTATATCGGATCTTTTTTTTTTGAACATATGCATAACATTTTTAAATGATAAAACCATCAATTAAACGAAAGAAATACTACACAATTGAATTATGATATAAAAATTGATGATATGTAGCAGATGAATTCAATGCGAGTAGATAAAGACGCGAAAGAGATTGAATTCGGAAAAAGAGGATATAAGGACATTTGGAAAATTGCAAAACTAATAGGGAAAAAACACACTTATCAATTTGGAAACAAATGGATAATCAACAAATACATTTAACAAGATTCTTTTTACCGATTTCACTAGGCAGCTTGAAAAGAAAAATTTGCTGCTATACAACACAAATGACTAAAAAAAAAGACATTTTTGAGTTGAGGACGTCTTTCCATTGGTCTTTTGGAGTAATTCGGAAGTTTAAAAAAAATCTCGAAAAGCGAATTGTCCGTGATATCGTTTCATCACTCCGCCAGCTTTTGATTTTCGAGATGGAGTGCTTATCTGAATTCAATAAATGAATTCAATGCGAGTAGATAAAGACGCGAGAGAGATAAACAGCGAAAAAATAAGCTGAAAACGCTAAATTAACGTAAGAACTAACGAAATTTAAAAAAAAAACAACAAAAAATCATAGAGAATCTCTTGCAACTTCTCCGCCGAAATGACACACAATTTACATTTAAAATTTGCAAAAAACAAATAAAAAATAAACAACTACAGTGCGTTGCAGAATTATAAGGCCACCCCCAAATTTGAGCGCCGCGCAATGATTTCGATATTTTGAGACCAACCAGTGTGAAAATCGTGTTCAGCATGAAAAATAACCTATATGTACCAATTTTTATGTTAGTATCTTCAAAAGTAACCGCGCTGTGGTTCAAAACCGTTTTTTCAAGCGGTGCAGAATTATAAAGCCACCCCCATAAAACAAGTTATAAACTCAAAAATAACGACAGTTTAATGTTTAGTGGCACCTCCATTCGAGGTAATAATATCGAAAACACAGTCTGGCATAGATTTGAGAAGGTTTTAAACATATTGGGTCGATTTAGATTTGAATTTCTGCTCTAACGTCTTCCATTCGACTACGATTTCGGTTTTGAGCTCGCCAACTCTCCAAATTTGCTTCCTTGGCCATAAGGATGCCGTACTAATTCTCCCCAGACGCTCTACATGGGACTCCAAAAAGAAGAACATGATGGCCAATCGAGAACGTCCACACTGTGAGACTGAAGCCAGTCCAAAGTAGACCGACTCACATGAATGACCGCATTTTTCTGTTGCAAAACGACAATAGTGACGTCGGAATGGAAGAAGATGGATCTCAAAAACATTCTGATAATCCGAAGAGTCCACCCTGCCAATTCCAAAAATCCGGCAAACGAAAACGCTTCCCCCATAATATCACGCTGCTTTCTCTAAAATTGAGTTTTGAAAGCAGGAGGCGATTCTTTCGTAAATTGTGCCAGCAACTGTTATTGCCGTCTGGGCCATCCAAATTAAATTTTTTTCCATCGGAAAAAATAACCTGTTGAAGTTTGAATGGTTATTATTCACAACATTCTCGAATGTAAGCACCTTGTTCCAATCCGTATTCATATTTTTGAATGCGAACTCAAGGCGTCGAATTTTATGGTCCTCTGTTGGTCGCGGGGCCGGCTTCATTTTTTCTCTAGCGATGTTGGGGTTATTCTTGATGGTTCCCCAAACTGTCCACTTGCTTTTGTCGAAGTTTAGCTTCTTCTTGATGTCATTTGTAGACTTCATATTGCTTGAAGCTGCTTGAATCAATGCTCGATTAGCGAGATAGTCCAGTTTTCCTCTGCCGCCTGACTTTTGCGACATGTTGACACGAGTTGGATCCTTCACAAAGATGTCTACGAATGTTTTCGGTCCTTTTAAATTCTTCGCAACCCGACGGTTCGACCATCCTGCTGTTTTGAATGCAAGAATCTGAGATTGCTCAGAAACACTAAGACAGCGACCACGTGGCATTTCAAAATCATTCAAAAAGTGAAAAATAAGGACCACTGTAGGTTCTCAAAGCCACACAACAATTTTTATGCACACTGGTCCCGCCAAAGTTTCAAAAAAATGCGAAAAAGTTCGTTTCATGGGGGTGGCTTTATAATTCTGCACCGCTTGAAAAAACGGTTTTGAACCACAGCGCGGTTACTTTTGAAGATACTAACATAAAAATTGGTACATATAGGTTATTTTTCATGCTGAACACGATTTTCACACTGGTTGGTCTCAAAATATCGAAATCATTGCGCGGCGCTCAAATTTGGGGGTGGCCTTATAATTCTGCAACGCACTGTATGAAATGTTTTTCCAAGTGTTACCAAACATAATCGTATAAATCAAACCATATAATATAACAATAAATGATATTAACAAAAGAGAGAGTGAAAAAACAGAGAAAAGAAATGTGAATATTTTTACAGTTCAATCTTTAAAAGACTACGGACCTCTGAATACTTATCCGATTGAATTATAGTAAAGCTTTTTCGATAGAAAAAATCCTTGCGAAAAACGTGGTCGGTGCACTTTTTTGTTAAAATTTGAGAAAAATTCAAAAAACTTGAAAAAAAGAGTCAAAACCTGGCGATTTTTAAAAAATTCGTCTGCGCGACAAAGACGCCAACAATCGATCACTGACACAGTTTGAGTTTTCATTTCAGGTAAATCCCACTAGTGTGAACGCCGTGATCTATCTACAAAATTTGAGCCTCGACAAACGTTAGAACTTTGCCAAATATTTTTTTTTTCAATTTTGATCATCCATTTTGTGGTGAACATTTCACAAAATTAAATACTTTCATATTTATTCTGCCTGCGTCTCCTACCACCGCACGCTCTCTCGACTTACTAGAAGTCGTACAATCACAAACTACCAACAATCGGACCGCCGAATTTCTGCAAAATTCGAAAGAAAAATAAATCCTTCTAACACAATGCAAAAAAATCGCAGAAAGAAATTTATTCGTCTGCAAAAATGTGGGGGAATGTGCAAAAATCAAGGAAAAATCAAATAATTTAAAAAGAAAATGAAAAATGAAACCCGTAGTTCGCTGAAAAAAAAAGCAGAACGGTAGATTTGTGCGTTTAAAGATGCATTTTTACAATTTAATGGTTCACATATAGCAGAGGGCGAGAATTAAGGAAGCGATTATTCCGAACGAAATGATGCACACGATAGTCCATAGGAGTTGAGCAAGACCGGCGCAGCAGATGCGCGAGCACCACGACTTTTTGCGCGACGTCGCCATTTTGCGTCGCATGAGCTTCTGCGGCGGCGGCGGCACCTCGAACGAATGCATCATCATCATCGGCGCCTCGACGGCTTTCGACGTCGACGCCGGTGTCGCGCCGAATGGTAGAAACATGGGCGGCGGTTGCGGTGGCGGCATCGCGTAGTAGATCGGCATCGCGTACTCGCCGATTCGACTCTCGCAACGATTGTCGACCATTGGATAGATGAGCAATGGCGTCGGCGTTACGAATGAGGCTGATCGTGATATCGGACGTCTGGAAACTCATTACTCATTATAC